TCGCCCTTGCTCTCCTTCTAAACAAAGCAAGTTTTTGAAATTGTATGTAATTCTGTCCTTGAGCTGTTCTTGTCTATTCATGGTCTGTATTATGTCCTGTTTCATGGTCTGTATTATGTCCTGTTTCATGGTCTGTATTATGTCCTGTTTCATGGTCTGTATTATGTCCTGTTTCATGTTCTGTATTATGTCCTGTTTCATGGTCTGTATTATGTCCTGTTTCATGGTCTGTATTATGTCCTGTTTCATGGTCTGTATTATGTCCTGTTTCATGGTCTGTATTATGTCCTGTTTCATGGTCTGTATTATGTCCTGTTTCATGTTTTGTGTGGACCCCAGTAAGAGTAGCTGCGGCTTTCGCAACAGCTAATGGGGATCCTAATAAAATACAACAATACCAAAGGGTAAAGTCTACAAAACGCAGTCCACTCTGTTTGTTACAGATTCTAGTTTTGGAAACAGAAAACTGTAAGGAGATCAAATCAAATGTTATTGGTCGCATACACATATTTAGCAGATATTATTGCTGGTGTAGCAAAATGCTTGTGTTCCTAGCTCCAACAGTGCAGTAATATCTAACAATACACCACAATACACAAGAATCTAAAAAGTAATATTAGGATGCGCAATGTCGGAGTCCGGAGATAAATATATATATATATATATATGTGTGATGGGATGTATAGACAATATGGACAGTATATGGACAGAATATGTAGTATATCTGAAGAATAGTATATGTTCAAATGTTTCATAGATGAGAATATTAGTCAAATGTCGGCCAAAATCCATCTCGCTCCATCTTTTCCCACTGCCGGCCACTGGGCCTCTCATCATCATTTGGTCGTGAGAGGAAACGCCAACCGGATGCTTCACATTTATAAATCCGGTGAAATATCTGGCTCATTGTTCTATCTGTGGCCTACTGTACGTGCACCAAATAAACTCAGCAAAAAAAAGAAATGTCCCTTTTTCAGGACCCTGTCTTTCAAAGATAATTCGTAAAAATCCAAATAACTTCACAGATCTTCCTTGTAAAGGATTAAACACTGTTTCCCATGCTTGTTCAATGAACCATAAACAATGAATGAACATGCACCTGTGGAACGGTTGTTAAGACACTAACAGCTTAAAGACGGTAGGCAATTAAGGTCATAGTTATGAAAACTTAGGACACTAAAGAGGCCTTTCTACTGACTCTGAAAAACACCAAAAGAAAGATGCCCAGGGTGGCAACAACAACTGCCCGAGTTACACCAGGAACGCACAATCCCTTCATCAGTGCTCAGACTGTCCGCAATAGGCTGAGAGAGGCTGGACTGAGGGCTTGTAGGCCTGTTGTAAGGCAGGTCCTCACCAGACATCACCGGCAACAACGTCGCCTTTGGGCACAAACCCACCGTCGCTGGACCAGACAGGACTGGCAAAAAGTGCTCTTCACTGACGAGTCGCGGTTTTGTCTCACCAGGGGTGATGGTCGGATTCGCGTTTATCGTCGAAGGAATGAGCGTTACACCGAGGCCTGTACTCTGGAGCGGGATCGATTTGGAGGTGGAGGGTCCGTCATGGTCTGGGGCAGTGTGTCACAGCATCATCGGACTGAGCTTGTTGTCATTGCAGGCAATCTCAACGCTGTGCGTTGCAGGGAAGACATCCTCCTCCCTCATGTGGTACCCTTCCTGCAGGCTCATCCTGACATGACCCTCCAGCATGACAATGCCACCAGCCATACTGCTTGTTCTGTGCGTGACTTCCTGCAAGACAGGAATGTCAGTGTTCTCCATGGCCAGCGAAGAGCCCGGATCTCAATCCCATTGAGCACGTCTGGGACCTGTTGGATCGGAGGGTGAGGGCTAGGGCCATTCCCCCCAGAAATGTCTGGGAACTTGCAGGTGCCTTGGTGGAAGAGTGGGGTAACATCTCACAGCAAGAACTGAAAACTCTGGTGCAGTCCATGAGGAGGAGATGCACTGCAGTACTTAATGCAGCTGGTGGCCACACCAGATACTGACTCCCCCTTTGTTCAGGGACACATTATTCAATTTCTGTTAGTCACATGTCTGTGGAACTTGTTCAGTTTATGTCTCAGTTGTTGAATCTTGTTATGTTCATACAAATATTTACACATGTTAAGTTTGCTGAAAATAAAAACTGTTGACAGTGAGAGGACGTTTCTTTTTTTGCTGAGTTTAGGTTAGCCTACACGTCAATCACTTTTGTGATCAGGCAGAAAAAGTTCACGTCAATCCACGGAAGCAAAAAGGACAATGTCAGAGTTTAATTCAATACGAGAAAAGCTGCGAAATGGAGAGTTGAAAATAAAGAGAAGAGATGGCCAGAAAAGTATGCTAATGTTTTTTGGAAAGATTTAGTGAAGTGGTAAAAGAGGATGATAGCACTGCCGGCTATGTTATGTGATGATTGTGGCGCTATACAAATTCGACACTCGCAACGGGACTTCAAATAGGGAAGCCTACTTTTCAGATGGGTTAAATGGAAACTGAAATCTTGACAATGACTGTAGGTCTATAACGTCTCACATAGCCTTAATATGAACTCTTGCAGAATTAAGCATTTCTAGCAGTAAAATCATACACCAAAGGTAGGCAAAATTGACTCTGAAATAGGAGTGGAGAAATATGATTTATTTATTTCAGCATCTTGAGAGAATGTGAATGCTCAGTTATACTGAACAAAAATATGAATGCAACATGCAACAATTTCAAATATTTTACTGAGTTACAGTTCATATAAGGAAATCAGTCAATTGAAATAAATAAATTAGGCCCTAATCTAGGTATTTCACATGACTGACTGGGCAGGGGTGCAGCTATGGGTTTTTCCCCACAAAAGGGCTTTATTACACACAGAAATACTCCTTGTGTTGTGTGACAAAACTGCACATTTTAAAGTGGCCTTTTATTGTCTCCAGCACAAGGTGCACCTGTGTAATGATCATGCTGTTTAATCAGATTCTTGATATGCCACACCTGACAGGTGGATGGATTATCTTGGCAAAGGAGAAATGCTCACTAACAGTGATGTAAACACATTTGTGCACAGAATTTGAGAGAAATAAGCCTTTTGTGCATGTGGAACATTTTGGGATTTTTTATTTCAGCTCATGAAACATGGGACCAACACTTTATATGTTGTGTTTATATTTTTGTTCAGTGTAGATACCGTCTGTAGAGGTGCTATCTTTAGCATGACATGATCAGATATGGCTTGGTCACCAGGGAAACAGCAAACAACAGTAAGCAAAGCAGTCAGTGTCGGCTCCTCCTCTACATCTCATCTCTTTCTTCCTCCCCTCCTTCCTTCCTCTTCCTCGCTCTGTTGATCACTATCAGCATTTATTTTAGCCTATAACAGCAGAACACCCCCAGCATAACACCCCCCCCCCCCCCCCCCCCCCTCATGTATTTATTCTGAAAACTAATTATTGGGAAAAACACTGTTGTTAAGACACATTTTCCCAGAAGTGTTAGAACCGGGGAATGTGAATTAACATGAAACTAGCCAGAGAGGAAGAGGCGAAGTAAGAAGTTTTACTCCATGAACATTTTTGTATGGAGGTCAATGACCATGTCGAATTTGGTCAACAAAAAAATAGATTTGTGATAGAGATTATGATTTCTATAGTCTAGGTCAGGACATGAGATTAGCACTGGAGTCAGGTGGTGTAAGGAGTGCCTGGCTGTCTATCAATCACTTCTATGATTATGGCATGTTCAGGGACAGCAGTGTAAGTGTTCCCTATGGTTCATTAATTTTAATCAGAAGTCACATTTAAAAAAAGATTGACAATAGGTTATGCCCTCTAGTGGCTGTGAGGTTTGCTAGTTTCTTTTACGCCTGCTACGTTAGGTCAGAGACGGAGAGGCGAAGCGATAGGTTTTACTCAGCCCAAAATCTGTCCACGAAAATAAACCCACGAAATTAGGATTTTTTTAATGGAGTTCAATGAGTTTCGAATGTGGTCAACAACAAAAAATACTTGCCAATTTCCTATGAGAGGTCTATTTCATCAAATATACGTTTCGTAATGGTTAGGTTGTTAGGAAGGCACTAATATAAGTGGACGCACGTGGCATTTTGGCAACTTAGAAAAAATAGCTTTATTGTTGTCATAGAGATAAATAGACGACTCATACTGGATAAAAACCGTTTTAGCATAGACATTGCCATTGAGGGATTCCACAATTTTTAAGTAGTCTACTTGGTGGGTATTCTTATGATTTGGGAGCAATCAGCCAATGAAGAAGAAAATGTACTACTTGAAAATGGACATAGCCTATGCTGTCACAGCGCTATAATGGCACAGATACAAAGATGTATGCATCTCTATGGCCTGTTGTTCACACGTGTTTCTGCCCTCTCATTGGCTAGAATGGTCCCACCTGATCTATCCTCCTCCTGCCTGACTTTCGTCTTTGAGGACATGCATTTCCATTGTTAATGTTGTCACTTGACTATCTTGTCAATAGACCATCTTTGGTTAGGTTATCTGTAGCTATGCCACGTTCATATGCTAGTCAAAACTAGGACACTTGGACATTTCAGACTTTCTGATCGTTGAATGTGGCACGTGTATAAAGACAACTGGTTAGCAAATCGGCCATTTTCGAGTTTCCTTGTTCCGACTAGCACTTGAACGCAGAATTAGATACAAGATTTACTGTTGATAGTCATCCAGGATATGGATACCATCCGTGGCCTACCAATAAAAACATCAAATGCATCCCATGACATTTTCACATGTAGGCCTAACACATTTTACTATGAGACTTCTGTAGTGCTCATGTAGGAATTACAATTTTCATAATTTGAAGCTACATTATTTGTTAACAAAGCACACCATGTTTTGCATACCTTTACAAATAACTCACCCTCTCTCCTGACAACATTAATCACAAGCATGTCAAACATAATGAATAAACTATTTAGTACGGCGCTCGCGCAAGCGTAACAATGAGCTGCGTTAGTTTACCCGGAAGTGCACGTCATCAAACGTGCAACGTTTATAATTTTCTACCATGGGATGAGGAAACACAAAACTCAAAATATGAATTGGCCGTTTTTGATGACTAATAAAATGTACCTTGTCCTTTAAGCTTAAGTTTCCTAACAAGCTCACCGCTGTTTCATTTTCGAATAAACTAACTAGCTAGCTAGCTAACGATGGACGACTGGGGATTGGCGCTCGAGGAGGACATGGCGCGGTAAGTGCGGTGCCTGTTATCTTGGGGGCTGTTGTTTTTATGAGGGCTGGGTGACGACATGCTGGTATATCAGGAGCGGAGTACCTCCATAAATATTTACCCTAGCTACATTTTCTGTGTTCCCCAGCGAAACCTCCGCCACGGGAAACCCTGAGCAGCAATACAACCCCTGGTCCAACCAGTCCAACCCCTGGTCCGAGCCTGGCTACACCTCGGAATCTGTGGGGGAGCTGGACAAGCTGGCCTCAGGGGATGGACACCATGTCACTCACCCGAAGAAGCAGGAGGAGCAAGGCGTCCAGGTAGTATACGTTTGTATAGGACAGCAGTAGCCTACTGCTGTTATTTCCGAAAGTGAATCGTGAGTGTATGTGACAGCAAGTAATCCTAAATGTTGGGTCTCTTGCAGACAGACGCCTGGACAGCAGACAAAGATGTTAACACAGATCAGGATTGGGAGTCACTGATGGTAATGTGTTCACTCTGGGGGCATAACTGGGGCATGGGGCAGTTATTGTGGTAACACACACACACACAACATATATCTGTACATGTGCATGACAGACGTTGACAACCGCTTTCATTCTTACTCTCTCCTTACATTTCTCCCTCCCTCTTTCTCCTCTTTCCACCCTCCCTCTCTTTTTCCTATCTTTTCTCCCTCCTTCCTATTTTTCTCACCTCTCGCTCCCTCACACTCTTTCTCCTCTCCTTTCTCTGTCTCTGCAGCAGTCAGTGGATGAGTACAGCACCCACCTGGCCCTGCAGTATGAGGAGCTGATAAAGCAGCAGGAGGAGGAGGAGGCTGATCATGGCAGCCAAGTAGACAGCCTGGTGCAGAAGAAGGATGAGGGGGTCCACCAGCAGCAGGTCTGTTCACACACACACATCTCTGTGCTGTAGGCTACATACAGTGCATTCAGACCCCTTGACTCTTTCCACATTTTGTTACGTTACAGCCTTATTCTAAAATTGATTAAATAAATAAACATTCTCATAAATCTACACACAATACCCCATAATGACAAAGCGAAAACAGGTTTCTAGAAATGTTTGCAAATGTATTAAAAATAAAAAACAGATACCTTATTTACATAAGTATTCAGACCCTTTGCTATGAAACTCGAAATTGAGCTCATGTGCATCCTGTTTCCATTGATCATCCTTGAGATGTTTCTACAACTTGATTGGAGTCCACCTGTGGTAAATTCAATTGATTGGACATGATTTGGAAAGGCAGACACCTGTCTATATAAGGTCCCACAGTTGACAGCGCATGTCAGATCAAACACCAAGCCATGAGGTCCAAGGAATTGTCCGTAGAGCTCAGAGACAGGATTGTGTCGAGGCACATATCTGGGGAAGGGTACCAAAAAATGTCTGCAGCATTGAAGGTCCCCAAGAACACAGTGGCCTCCATCATTCTTGAATGGAAGAAGTTTGGAACCACCAAGACTCTTCCTAGAGCTGGCCGCCTGCCAAAATGAGCAATCGGTGGACAAGGGACTTGGTTAGGGAGGTGACCAAGAACCCGATGGTCACTCTGACAGAGCTCCAGAGTTCCTCTGTGGAGATGGGAGAACCTTCCAGAAGGACAACCATCTCTGCAGCAGTCCACCAATCAGGCCTTTATGGTAGAGTGGCCAGACGGAAGCCACTCCTCAGTAAAAGGCACATGACAGCCTGCTTGGAGTTTACCAAAAGCCACCGAAAGAATCTCAGACCATGAGAAACAAGATTCTCTGGTCTGATGAAGCCAAGATTGAACTTTTTGGCCTGAATGCCATGTGTCACGTCTGGAGGAAACCTGGCACCATCCCTAAGGTGAAGCATGGTGGTGGCAGCATCATGCTGTGGGGATGTTTTTCAGTGGCCAGGACTGGGAGACTAGTCAGGATCGAGGGAAAGATGAACGGAGCAAAGTACAGAGAGATCCTTGATCTGCTCCAGAGCGCTCAGGACCTCAGACTGGGGTGAAGGTTCACCTTCCAACAGGACAACGACCCTAAGCACACAGCCAAATACAGGTGTGCCAAGCTTGTAGCGTCATACCCAAAAAGACTAGAGGCTGTAATCACTGCCAAAGGTGCTTCAACAAAGTACTGAGTAAAGGGTCTGAATACTTATGTAAACGTGATATTTAATTTTTTATTATTTTTTATTTTTTATAAATGTACAACATTTTCTAAAAACCTGTTTTTGCTTTGTCATTATGGGGTATTGTGTGTAGATTGATGAGGGAAAAAAACTATTGAATTCGTTTTAGAATAAGGCTGTAATGTAACAAAATGTGGAAAAAGTAAAGGGGTCTGAATAATTTCGGAATGCACTGTATAGGCCAACTTGTGTCATTACATCTTTGGCCTTATAACCTGTGAGTGACAACATGAATATTTTCAGGTGCTGCTGGACAAAATTGAGTCCCTGCGTGTGAAGCTTCAGCTGAACTGCTGCAAGACCACCCGCAAGAACTTTGCGGTCAAGAAGCAGGAGCTCAGAGTGGAGAAAAGCAAAATGGAGGAGGAGAGGAACAGGTAAAGGAGAGAAAGTGAGAGGAAGGTGGAAAAAGACAAATTGGGAAAACCCTTAGGAAAGTTTGAGGTATGGGACAGACTGTAGGCTAGGTGGTGGCCCCTCAACAGAACTGTGACATGATGTCCTGTCAGTCAGTCAGCCATGTTCCTATGTCTGTCCCTCTACCAGACTGTCTCAGGAGCTGGAGGAGACCACCAGGAAGCTGGCTTTGCTGATAGAAGAGCAGAACCAGGAGAAGTAAGACTACTGAGCCACACTCCTACCCCCTACACTTATAACCTAACCATAGACAACACATCACATACTAGTCCACATTATAATGCTATACAACACACCTACTGTGATCATCTCCAGGCTGATGTGGGAGCGGGAGCTAGCAGACCTGAACACTGAGATGGAGCGTCTACAGAAAGAGTCAGAGGAGGCCACACAGAGAGCTCTACGGGAGGAGGTCAGTCTGTACATATTTATTAACTCCGTAAGTCAACCATCACAACCCTATGACCCTGAACGTTCACTCTCATTCACCTATCCACATGTGTCTCCATGGAGTTGGATTTAAAGTCAATTAGGAATTAACCCTGATTTGTATTCTGATTTATGTTCAACAGATTACAGCTCTGGAAATGCAGAGAGATGTGACCATGTCTGAGGTGGACGACTGGCTGAAAGAGGCTGACCGATACATAAACACACTTGGGTACTGTACTGAGCATGACCTTAGGACCAAATGTGGATATAGTCTGTATATTGTAACTTCTCCCATAAAGGCTGTGCTTCAGTGATTGGTTGTGTTCCCTCTGTCTGCAGATTTGACCCTTCCCAGCAGCAGCACATGCACCACAGGCTGGAGTGGGAGAATAATGTGGCTGTGGTTCACAGCAGTTTGGCGGGACTGCAGGTGAGAGACGAGAGAGGGTAGACTGCGTTAAGAACTCGACTACGGGGTTGAACTGCCCCTAGACAACTAGGACTTTATTATTATCTCCTCTTGTCTCTCTCTCGTCCTCTCTTTCTCTCTCCCAGAATCAGTTCAAGGAGCAACTTCACTTGCTGCAACAGGGCCAACCAATGGAAAGCCTCCCTGGAGTCACATTACCACACTTACCCCAGGTCCCCACGGTGAGTGTGTGTGTGTGTGTGTGTGTGTGCGCAATTGATTCTGACGAAGACAGTCAATGCCAGGTGGACTTGTTGATGAGTCTGATGATGTACGCTCCACCCCGCCCCCCTTTTCAACATTTCCAGATGGGCCCTCCTAACGGGTTGATGAGTCCGATGATGTACGCTCCACCCCGCCCCCCTTTTCAACATTTCCAGATGGGCCCTCCTAACGGGATGACCTTCACACCCCAGCAGCACCACCCTGCTGCTTTCACAGCCCCAGCCAGAGTAACCCCCCCACCTGCCACTTCCTCCACTCCCCATGCCTCCGCTCTACCCTCCCACCCAGCCACCCCACCTGTCTCCCTGTTCACCACTACCATGGCCTCCGCCCAGCCCCTGTCCTCCAATAACCCCCCCGCTGCTGGCAAACTGGACAACCTGCTGAAGAGACTGGGGGACAGATTTCCACAGTGCAACAGGTGATATCAATGTCTGTCACTTACTCTGAATGTACGGGTCAGTAAAAGATCTTGCAGACTATAATCAATACGGAGTGAATGCGGTTCCGGATTTTCTGGAACCCCACTCTGCTTCTGCTCGATTTCATGTTCTTTTCTCAGGTGGTGTGTTACGCTACATGCAGATATCATGTTGTACACAGAAGACATGAGCGGCATGTTTGTACAAACTTTGTTGTCTGTTGTAACAGTATATTTAGGCAAGCATATCAAACAGAAGCAAGACATACAGGCAGTCAAAATAGCGATTATTTTCTCATTATCATTGCAAACATTGGCTAGTTCTTTTTTCAACAACTCACTACGATATGGCAGCATATCTATGAAGGTTATCATCACAAATAGTAGGCAGTCTAAAGCAGTAGTTGACTAACGACGTCAGGAATAATAGCACGCCGGGTGAAGCAAAACGTCTCCAAATTAGTAGGGCCTGTGTGTGGTTAAAACGCAGATCGTTTTTTTCCAAGAAGAAGAGGAGTGTGGCTGCACAATGTACTTCTCTCTCCAGAATGCCCTCTCTCCCGCCAATTTGTGCATATTCATTGTTTCATAACTTCATTGTGTGAATTGTTTGCGTTTGATTGTTAGTGTCTATCAATTCCCCATTACATATATCACCAGTAGTACATTTACCCTTAATTCCTATAACATGTGCACAGAACGTGATCTGGATCCTTAGCTTTGAGAAAGAGGTTTCCGGGAGCAGGCGAAAACTCGGTATTGGCAGCCACGGCCTAATAAATAAATATAGATTCTAGTCTCATTATTTTCGGTTGACATCCCTTACTACTTTCCTCTTTCCCTCCCTCCCTCTCTCCAGAACCCAGCTTATGTCAGTGCTGCAGCAGATTAAGAATTCTCGGGGCACCATGGCTGGCATGTCTATTGATGAGGTCACAAAGCAGGTGGCACAGAGACTGGCACAAAATGAGAAACCGGTAGGACAGTCACAAACACTCACACTGAGACATACACACTTAGGGCGCACACACCAACACAGTCTAAACCAGGGCTCCCCAACAGGCCTCCACACAAAATACTGTACTTTTTTTTGCATTTTCATTGTTGGACATAAAAAAACTGTAAAAACACCAGGAAATCAGCTCCACATGATTTTAATTTGGGAAATCTGTTCCTAAGTATTTCCCACGCATAATAGAGAGACACGTGATCATATACAAATGTAAGCAGGGTTTGAAATTATTATGTTTCAGTCAAATATTATATCTGTTTGGGCTTCTTGTAGTCAATTTGCAGTCTACAAATTATTTGCAGTTATGTTCCAGCCCCCTGACCATCCGCTCAAGAAGAAATTGGCCCTTGGCTGAATCTAGTTGATGATCCCTGGTCTAAACCTTAACCTAACCCTTATCCTCCAAAGGCTCCAGGGCCTATCAGGCCTCCCTCTGCAGACAGGGGCGTTCCTGGCCACCCAGGCCCAATCCAGCGCCCTCCAGGCCCCATCCAGAGACCCACACATCCCCCACAGAGACCTGCAGTGGCCCAGGTCTTCCAGACGAGGCCCCCACAGGTACAAACCACTACCGACCTGCAGAGGGCACTAACAACCATAGTTTGATCATTTTAGACTTGGGGAACGAATGTACATAACTCATGTATATTTGCCTATTGATGTACTACTTCGCTCTCTCTCGCCAGCCTGTGGCTGTCAGTAATCGTAAGCTGTGCTTGATGTGCCAGAAACACGTGGAAGCAGACAGCCAGCACCCCATGAGCTGCACCCACACTGTACATAAGGATGTAAGTCCTACACTAAAAAACACTTATACTACTGACAACTACACAGTGTTGATGAGGAGGTGAGGCCTACCCTTCCTCATATTGTACACATTACTGGGCACAATAAGATGATACTTACTCTTACATTGCTATAACCCTGACTCTACATGCTTAAACTAGTGAGGCACTTTTAGCTGATGGAAAGCTGATGATTTGCCTCTGTCGTTGTTTCAGTGCATCAGTGTATGGCTACAGTCGAGCAAGGACAATGCCTGTCCCTTCTGTCCAGCCAAGTGAAAGGAGGAACAGATGAGACAGAAAGGAGAACACAACAGAAGACATGAAGGGAACGAGGAGCTGAACACTGATAACATTCTGGTCAGCTTCACAGAACTGAAGTGGGAGATGGTGGAATATGATTCACACCAACTCCACCTACACAGAGCAGTCATGGTGAGGTATTACTATTGACCTATGTGACAATAAACAGAAGTCATTCATATTATGCATCCCTATATCGATAGTTGACTTTATGTAAATCATTTAGTACATCTTGTTAAAACAACTGCAATGATAATCTGGCACCAACCATAACTTTATTTTCTCACTTTTGTAACATTCCTGATTTAACCAATAGGGATATCATGTTTGTTATGTATGCCTTTTGAACAAGCAGCATATTTCTTGTCAAATATACCTCTGATACCCTTTTTCATAATTATAACAGCTGTTACATTTTGTATGTTATTTCTAACTTCCATGTATTTTCTATGTTTATAATGTTTCTAACTTCCATGATTCTGTGTAAAAATGTTTTTTATTTCTATGTCTAAAAAGACACTACAGTGTTATGTTATTAAGTGCCTTACTAAAAGTCACATCCGAATGATGACTCATTGAACTTAACATTTTGGTTTGAATGAGTAGGAAATACTTCAGTGGAAGGGAAATGGCAATAACTATTTGTACTTGTTTAATTAACATCTGTGATAAAAGATGAAAGAACCATTACATCAGTATTTTGGAGACCTTTTGTATTTAATTGACAAGATGTCATCTCTGGAGTAGAGATCCAAGAGCAAGATTTTATCAGGTACACCACATTTCTTTCACCAAGCAACTGCAAGCATGACACTGAGACAGGCCATGTTCATGTGGATGGAATCACACAGTGAAGGTGGCCACTACGTGGAGACATTCTCCAGATAGTGTGTGCGAGTCTCGGCAGTTGTTGTTGTAATGTGCTGTTGTGAGGAGGCTGTGTGTGTTACACAGTTGAGGGGAGGGGGAATCCTATCTGACCAGGATCAGAGGTTTTTATGCCTTCATGGCGGTGGAGACAGTATCGTAGAAGGCCATGAACCTGCTCTTCAGGTCCTCGAAGTAGGGCTCCAGCTTGCTCTGGAGGTCAGCAGTGTGTGGGGACACCTTCTCCCTCACCTCACCGATGGACTTCACAAGCTGATCCTTGTACTCCTCAGCATAGGGGGTGGCCAGATTCCTCAGCTCCTCCAGATGATTGGTCAGCTTGGTGCGGACTACCTCAACCATGGGGAGCAGCTTGGACTTGGTCTCCTCAACGTTGACCTCAAACTTGGCGCGCATCTCATCGACCAGTTGCTGCAGCTTGGTCCTCAGGGTGTCCATCTCCTCACGGTTCTTGAAGACGTACTCCTTGAAGACGGGCTCCAGCTTCTCGCGGTACACCTCAACATGCTTTTGGAGGACCTGCTGCAGCTCCTCACGCTTGGGCTCCAGCTGGGTGCGGAGGTCCTCAACATCAGCCATCAACTTCTCACGTACCTGCTTGGTGGCCTCCAGGAACTGGGCGCTGAAGGCATCACCGTAGGGGGTCAGAGTCTGGGAAGCGGTCTGGGCATACTCGTGCAGCTTGTCGAAGCTCTCGGACAGCTTCATCCTGGTGGTAGATGAGGAGAGGGGGGTACAGAGAGGTGGAGGTTGAAATGAAGGAGAGACCAGTGGAATGCATTGCTATGATGGAAAGAAGGATGAGGGGTTGTTGGGAAGGGAAAATTAAGGCAGAATAATCTGGTGGAAGTTAACAGGTGGAGCTATGTTTTTCTTTTACTTGTACTCAGCGTATTCAGTTCCATCGAGGTGGTCCAGGGTCTTCTGGGCGGTCTCCTTCAACTGAGTGAGGTACTCTATGGTGGCAGCCTTGATGTGTTCCATTTGGGAGGGGGCGTCATTCTGCAAGGCCTGGGAGCCTGGTGGGCGAACAACCACAGGAGAGACCCAGGCTTTAGCTATAGTGCTCAGGCCTCCACACAAAATACTGTACTATGTTATATAACATTAGAGCTCATACTGACCTACTGCCAACAAGAGAGTCAGTGCAAGAGCGACAAACTTCATGGTGAAGGGCTGACAACGAGAGAGAAGGGGAGGAGTAGATAAAAAAAAAAAAAAGTGAGAAGTAACAACTTAACATTCAATGTTTCACACAACCAAAAACATTTTAACTCCACCAAACATTCAAACTCAAACTTCAGAGTACAAAAAGCAAGTTACTTTTAATGCATATTATCCATATTTAAAATTGCAAACACTTCATTCTTACAGTTCTTTCCAAGCACCTAAGTTCAAAAATAATATCTGATGTCTTTCTGCAAATTTCATCTGTATAATATTGGTCCTTCAATTCCTCATCTTCTACTCCTGTTCTCCTATGATGGCTGTCTCCCATGCTCTTCCCATAAGCCCCATACCTCCCTCTGAGTGAGGCTAGTTGTCTCTTACCTGGGTTGGGGATGCTGCTCTTTGAGTGAGGGAGGCCGAAGCATAGGGCCAGGCAGCTTTTATAGGTCCCTGATCAGATGTGTGTGCTGTCTTGGACATGGACCTCAGCCCCTCACAATCCAACTGGAGGAGCACGTTCAAGGGTCAGAAACAAAGAGGGAAGAGGAGGGGGAGATTTTTTGAGCAAACAGACAAACATACCTACATGTACATGTGTGGGTTACGGGGTTTACCTAATGTTACCACCATACGGTGGGGTTACTATCAGTCATCTGATTGTCTAAGTATTTTTCTGGAAAGGCAGATTACACTTATCATCAATGTGTTTCTGGCACGTGCAATCTAAGTACATCAATTGTATACATTAATAATGTCATACTTTACATATATAATGGAATATATTCAAAATCACTATATGCCCCAATGTTGGACATCACACCAGTCATCATAAACAATATTTGTTAGATCCATATACAGCATGTTTAGTAAGTACAAGTAATCCAACTGGATAGGAAACTTGTCATATAATTTGATATTTGCATCATCCTATTGGCAATGAGACCAGAAGTAGCTGGATATCTGTCCACTGTGGCCTTTAAAGCATTCTGGGTGTGTGACCCATACAGCCATCATCGGGCCATTAGATCATTGCCTCTCAAACCCTAACTAATGTAGCAGGCTTTCTGGTCCAGACGAGAGAAAAATACTGTTGGGGGAGATTCTCTTCTGCTCTGTTCAACCAATTCAGTAAATGTGGAGGAGTTAAGATGGTGTCGCCTTGTTAACACTGAGGTATATGTTAATGTCCAAAAGGTGAAGTCGTGTCACAGGCTCTCTTTCCATTCCCCTCCCCCAAAGACGGATGCATCCGGTTGTGGCTAACCCTGCTGAGGGTGATCAAACCCTATTGATTGTATGAACCTATTGGCCATCACACCCTGTGGACTGTCTCTACCCCTCAGCAAAGCTGTGTGTGTTTGTGGGTGTGTGTCTGTGCGTGCGTTCGAGCATTTGTGTATGTGTGTGCGAGCGAGTGTGTCATTGATGATACCTCAGACTATGTGTGTGTGCAGTCATAGACTAGGAGTGTGTGATAAGACACAGTTCTACTGTAGCAGATAAGATATGCTGTGCTGGCACAGACATACAGCTGGCTATACGTCCCCATAAGCAGGAAACTGGAGGCATGCTATAACTCAGCCAGAACAGTGCATCCCTTATCACACGTAGCAAGATGTTGCAAAACCTTGTCCCTCCTGTCCCATATACAGTATTCTTTCTTTTTGGGTCAATGGGTTTTCTTTCTGGTGGGTTTATGAGTACCGGCATGCATTCAGTTGGCACATTCATTCTTTGCCATTTCAGTTCATGGTAATCTCTTGACAGCCTAATAGAATAGCTGGCCAGTGTGCACACAATATTTATTTCCGGGGGCCACTGCCGATAAGTTCATACAGTGAGGTAAACAAAAAAGACGCTATAAAATAATACAAATACTGAGCTATATTGTATGCTAAAACAAATGGAAATGTTTTATTATTTTATACTAATACAATGGCATAGAGAAAGAGATTTGGTTTAGCATTTTAGAAAAAGGCTGGAGAGGGGAGGGTGCTGGAGTATTGAAAACAGGGGATCCAATCATCTTTTTTAGATTTTTATTTAAAATATATTTTTCTGAGCAATTGTATTAGTATTAAGAATAGAATTGTTATATATTTTTTTCATACCAAACATTAGGAACACCTTTTGCCCTCAGAACAACCTCAATTCGTCGGGGCATGGACTCTACAAGGTTTTGAAAGCGTTCCACAGGGATGCTGGCTCAAATGCTTCCCACAATTGGTTCAAGTTGGCTGGATGTCCTTTGGGTGGTGGACCATTCTTGATACACACAGGAAACTGTTGAGTGTGAAAAACCCAGCAGCATTGCAGTTCTTGGCAAACCGGAGCACCTACTACCATACCCCGTTCAAAGGCACTTAAGTCCTTTGTCTTGCCCATTCACCCTCTGAATGGGACACATACACAATCCATGTCTCAATTGTCTCAAGGCTTAAAAATCCTTCTTTAACTTGTCTCCTCCCATTCATCTACACTGATTGAGGTGAATAAGGGATCATAGCTTTCACCTGGATAGTATATGTCATGGAAAGAGCAGGTGTTCTTAATGTTGAGTACACTCAGTATTTGTATTATTTATTTTATCTTTTTGCTCATCTTTATCAAGGGATCCAATAATTACCGGACCCCACTGTAGGTATGCTGGATCCTTTTCTATTTAATCTGTCCTGTGTGATTGGCCTATCCCACCAGTGTGTACTGTAGCATGCAACATAGATGTAAACTTTGCTTAAAACCCTGAGTAGGCACCACTGTGCTCTGCTACGGTCATAGTCTGTCTGACACAGAGTATTGATTGGCTAAATAGGGATCATTAAGGTAATATGGTACTCCTCAGGGACCACTGCCTAGATCTGAAACACTACTCTTATCCTTGGTGGATGGATGCTCCCTCTGTCTTCATCTCATTGGTATTTGACCTTGTGCCTCTTTTCCTGGAAACATGGATATGTTATCTTGGTATCACTGCTGTGTCAGTGCTGGGGTCATAGGTCTTATCTCTCAGACTGTACTGTATAATGCTCCATGAACCGTATCACATTGCCCTTCCTCCCGTTTTCTTTCAGTGGTGAGGGGACAGAGAATGTCAGGCGGTCTGAAAAGACTGACTTCCAAGGACCAGGTTAGCCATAACATTTAATTAGTTACAGTAAAACAACAGAAATGGTGTCTTCCTATTTTTGCCAGCAGTAATCTGAATGGTATTATTCACTTCTAGTCAAAGTGAATCCTCATTCTATTGTTGATGTGCATTAACTAATGGACACCAATATAATACAATAGTTTTGGCAACAAGCTATATAATTTATTTATTCAATTTGACTCAACCTTTATCCTGTCATTTTTACCATTTCTGTTGTGAGCCTTAGTAACTTTCATCAAATTGTGCAAACAACCACCACACCACAGCAGCAGAGAGATATCCAACAGCTAACTCTGGAAATTGTCAGCCAGATACAGAGGGATGAGGGAGGGGGTTTATTCAAGAGTTTTATCTTAAAACGATAAGTCAACCTTTTTCTCTCCACGATCTCACTGATAATTACCGGATTTACCTTCGTAACAGTTTTACCATAAATTGTGCAAACTTTTGCTGTATGTTTCCTATCCAATAGCCTTGGAAATGAAGTAATTTGAGACAAGCCATCAGTGTCTGTCCCATCGACAGTCAGAGGTCTGTCCCACTTGCAGAGAGCACACAATAAAGTGCTCCCTCTAGAGGTTAAATGGGACTCCTGCGAGTTAGTTATGCAGTGACAAATCACAGGTATGCTAGCTAATCACAAACCTTGATGATAAAATACATTTTTTCCACATTTACACAGTCAACTGAAATGAAGCAACACCACAAATGATGTACATCCATGGTCCTTTATTGGAATGCACTGTCTTTTCAGCATGTGACAAGCTAGATATAGTGCACGGTTTGCACCAAATACAGACGCTCACTAATGTTCATTCTCTTACAAACACTACCACATTTGCAACACAAGGCCATCTATCCAAGCTTCACACACACACACACACATATATATATATATTATATACAAATGGGCCATTTGTAAACAGTCATACAACCAATGCACAGACTCAAACATAAGTGGCATACACACTTCTCACCTCCAGCTGTTGTAGGTTCACACACACACACACAAACAAACGCTTATACACTAACAGAGATGTATATCAGCATAGCACAAGAAGAATACGTGTAGACGGTTGTAACATGAGAGCAGCCGATGCTCAGCAAGAGGACCTCTGTAACCACTTCAGTTCAACAGGAGGAAACAAAAAAGGGTTCAAAGGTCACAAACACATGACATTCTCTATGCGACCTGTGGTTGGGTTTTTAGTGCAGTAGACTAGTAATTAATCAATGTAGTTATGTGTCAGTAGCTTTATCATGATGCTACTGTTTAAGTCGTCCTGCGACAATGTCATGTGTTAGGAGGCAGGTGGGGGTGTGGCCAGGGCTGGGTGGGGGTGGTGTGGCCAGGGCTGGGTGGGGGTGGTGTGGCCAGGGCTGGGCAGAGGTTCTGTATACTACACACATCAAGACACAATAAGGACAGAAGTGAAGAGTGGGCGAGAGACAATGAGCAGGTATTTGAGTCTGTAGGAGAGAGAGAGAAAGAGTGCAGGGATTGGAGTCTTTTTCTATGTGTAAGAGAGGGAGAGAGAGCCAGTGTCTGACAGTGTATGTATGGCAGAAGGCCATTATGGGTGGATAGCTTGACTTCACTGTTGTGTGTGTCAAGGCAGAGAGAGGGGGGAGGAGAGAAGATATCACAGTTGGTCCTCAGATGGTGGTTAAGAGCTTTTAAAAGGTCTGTTGGGGCATATGGCGCAAACTCAAACTAATTTCTGAGAGAGAACGTATAGGAGTGCTTATTACTGTGCTGCTAAGCTGTGCCCGAGTAGGAAGCTACTTTACATTTCATTTGGCAAAGCTGAAATTTTTGTGTCTACTACAGTGTCTGTTTCTTTTGGGGTCTATGCATGTGTGCCATTGGCCTCTCTATAATGCTTGTGTAGGTGTCCTTCAGAAATGTCCCATCTCTCTATCCTCCCACTATCAGATCTCTCTCTGACTCCAAGTGCTACTGTTGCTGCTACAGCATGTACGTATATCTCTGGAAGTTGTGTCGACTCTCTCTTTCACCTCTCCACACCATCAACCCTGTCTCCCCGCACACATGCACATGATCCCATGCACCCTCCCTCCTGCAGTTTCACTCACATGAGAGCCCATTCTCTCTGCCTGGCCCAGCCCCCTCATGTCAGTGACATATCTTGATCTGACCCCTTCCCCATAGACAGGAACATGCCTCACCCCTGACTATCCCCCCTCCCCTGTTCCCTGTCCCCAGTAGAGACTCCAGGTAGAAGTTGACCCTAACCACATATCTAGGACCAGATCCTAGAATAGTGGTTTGGGGCTACTTTCAGCTACTCCCCAGCAGAGGGAGTGAGTGAGTCAGTCAGTGAAGCATGTCCCTGGCTGTGTGGGTGTGTGGCCCCTGTGGTGTGGCCCTCAGACCAGTGAGGCCCTCTTCTCCTCAGGCGTCTCCTCCAGTATCTGCAGCAGTAGGTCACTGAGGGGCTTGGCGATGGCCCGGTAGCCCGCCGCCGTCAGGTGCAGGAAGTCAAACATGTCCCGGGTGGAGATGGTCCCGTCAGAGTGCACAAAGCCCGCCCCCACGTCCAGGAACTGGGCCTGGCCCAGCCGCGGCAGCCAGGAGTGCAGGAAGCCGTTCACCGCCGCGTTCTTCTCCCGCAGCGGGTTGGGCCGCTCGCCCCGTGCCAACAGACCCTGAGATGTACAGACAGTAGGGGTTAGTTACTAAAAGGAGCTTAGGTCACATCTGTAAATGCATGCATCCTAATCAGGGTTGGGCACAATTCAGAATTTTGGAATTGACTCCCATTCAAGTCATGAGTTGAAATTCTAAATTGGCCACACCCCACAGGATGTAGAATGAGAATTTGAGTGACAGGAAGTACAATTTCATTAAGCGCAATTAAAATAAATTCAATTCAGTCATAGAACATTTGTTTAATTTAATCTGACAGGTCACACTTCCAGATAAAGAATATATCACTTTTCTATGGAAGCAATGTTCATATACTCTTAAACTTAGTGCTTAGAATAACCAATTATATTTCCAACCACCATTTAATTTGTTTAGCTTCTTTTTGAAGGCCTCAGGGTTAACTTGAGGGTTAAACTAATGCATTCCCCATATTGAACAAAATGTAAGGGATTAATGAAATATAACTTAGAATATTCACATATAGATTTTGTTTTCCTTGATCATTAATTTGAAGAGTTTGTCCTGAAAATCTATTGTTTCAACAATAATTTATATGCATTTATATAACGACATGTTTGATGTTTTATGTACAAGATGTATACTTGTATAGACTACACCTAATATAGAATATAAATGGCATTTGAATTTCATTGAATTTCACTGAATTCAATTCTCTTTCCTTTAATTCAAACTCAAATTGCAATTCTGTATCCTGTTTTCTACTTCAATTCAAATGTTATTAAAATTCAAGAATTGAATTGGAATTTATTAAGCATTCTCAATTAAATTCTGAATTGAGCCCATCCCTGATTCTAATATACATGCTCATATAGTATATTATAGACACTGAGGTGATAATGCAAACCAAAGGTTTGGGACAATTAAACTTCCTGAATCTGAATGCAAACCCTGCATGAGATTGCATAATGTTACACTCCAGACACACACTGTAGACAAACAAAACGGAAAACCTTCACTTACCAGAACAACAACCTTAGTCTTAGGAAGACTGGAGGTGAGCAGCTGTGCGATGGCAAGGATTCCCCCTGCAACTTGCTCTGCCGAGTGCTCATGATTGTTGGTTCCTACCCACACCACCGTCACCTAGAGGGGACCAACGAGATATTGATTAGTTTGATCAGAATTAGAACACCTGATCTGGATGAAAAGCATTCCAGGACCACAACTGTCCAATGTACCCTTTCCTCTCTCAGGGCCTGTGCTGACCCGGTTGAGTCTCACCTTGGGCCTGATGTTGTCCAGTTCTCCATTCTGCAGCCTCCACAGCACGTTACAGGTGGTGTCTCCCCCGATTCCAAAGTTGAGCGCGTGCAGAGGAGAGAAAAGCTCCAGCCAGATCTGTGGACGCACACAGTGAGTCATGTAAACATACAAACACACTGCTAACAGGGTTGTTTCTTGATCAAAAAGGGGCTTAGGTGGTGGGCGTGGCAGGGGGCGTGGCAATAGGCATGGTCGGCCTGTCTGAATTTTAGAGAACACTTTAGAAGCCCCCTTCCTAGCGGTGTAGAGAAATGTTTACAGTTTTAAAGCTAATTTCCTGCAATTCTACACATTTTGCCATGGAGCTCAGACAAAATGTTGCAGTTTTAAAGCTAATTTCCTGTAATTCCATGCATTTTGCTATGGCTATGGTGTTCTTTTGGCTAAAACATAAAATCAATTCTGCTAAATTCATTGTTTTGGGAATGTTAAATTCTCCCTGACTGTCTAGCTTTTATTTTGGTGATTGTTAGTTCTCAAAGATTATCTGATGGAAAAATATAAAAAAAAAGGGTCCATTATCATTTCTACATAATTGCAGTGGACTGTAGGAATGTGTATTCCCAATAACTCAAGTCCTGTGATATGCACGGAGGAGCATGGAGAAATCCTGGTTGATGAAAAAGTACATCTTTGTGGAAGGGGGGTGAGAGTTAAGGGTGTAAGTGGACACTGTATTGAATGTATGTATTCAGCTGGACATCTTCACTGAGTAAACATTTGAAATGTCACTGAGTTTGGGCTCTTTTGTATGAGAGTTGCAAAGAAAAAGCCATATCTCAGACTGGCCAATAAAAATAAAAGATTAAGATGGGCAGTCTGAGATATGGCTTTTTCTTTGCAACTCTGCCTAGAAGGTCAGCATCCCGGAGTCACCTCTTCACTGTTGACGTTGAGACTGGTGATTTGTGGGTACTATTTAATGAAGCTGCCAATATGCTGGATAAAAGCGTCTGCTAAATGGCATATTAATATTATTGGGTCATTGTCCTGTTGAAAAACAAATGAGTCCCAATAAGCGCAAACCAGATGGGATGGCGTATTACTGCAGAATGCTGTGGTAGCCATGCTGGTTAAGTGTGCCTTGAATTCTAAATAAATCACCAACAGTGTCACCAGCAAAGCACCCCCACACCTCCTCCTCCTCCATGCTTCATGGTGGGAACCACACATGCGTAGATTATCCGTTCATCTACTCTGCGTCTCACAAAGACACAGCGGTTGGAACCAAAAATCTCAAATTTGGACTCATCAGACCAAAGGACAGATTTTCACCGGTTTAATGTCCATTGCTCATGTTTCTTGGCCCAAGCAAGTCTCTTCTTATTGGTGTCCTTTAGTAGTGGTTTCTTTGCAGCAATTCGACCATGAAGGCATGATTCACGCAGTCTCCTCTGAACAGTTGAGATGTGTCTGTTACTTGAACTCTGTGAAGCATTTATTTGGGCTGCAATTTCTGAGGCTGGTAACTAATGAACTTATGCTCTGCAGCAGAGGTAACTCTGGGTCTTCCTTTCCTGTGGCGGTCCTCATGAGAGCCAGTTTCATCATAGCGCTTGATGGTTTTTGCGACTGCACTTGAAGAAACTTTCAAAGTTCTTGAAATGTTCTGAATTGACTGACCTTCATGTCTTAAAGTAATGATGGACTGTCGTTTCTCTTTGGTTATTTTAGCTGTTTTTGCCAAAGCTGTCATCAAGGCAAAGGGTGGCTACTTTGAAGAACCTCAAATATAAAATATATTTCGATTTGTTTAATACTTTTTTGGTTACTACATGATTCCATATGTGTTATTTCATAGTTTTGATGAGTAGGTGTGTCCAAACTTTTGACTGGTACTGTGTGTGTGTGTGTGTGTGTGTGTGTGTGTGTGTGTGTGTGTGTGTGTGTGTGTGTGTGTGTGTGTATATACACAGGTAAAAGTCAGTAAATTAGAATATTTTGAAAAACTTGATTTATTTCAGTAATTGCATTCAAAAGGTGTAACTTGTACATTATATTTATTCATTGCACACAGACTGATGCATTCAAATGTTTATTTCATTTAATTTTGATGATTTGAAGTGGCAACAAATGAAAATCCAAAATTCCGTGTGTCACAAAATTAGAATATTACTTAAGGCTAATACAAAAAAGGGATTTTTTAGAAATGTTGGCCAACTGAAAAGTATGAAAATGAAAAATATGAGCATGTACAATACTCAATACTTGGTTGGAGCTCCTTTTGCCTCAATTACTGCATTAATGCGGCGTGGCATGGAGTCGATGAGTTTCTGGCACTGCTCAGGTGTTATGAGAGGCCAGGTTGCTCTGATAGTGGCCTTCAACTCTTCTGCGTTGTTGGGTCTGGCATTCTGCATCTTCCTTTTCACAATACCCCACAGATTTTCTATGGGGCTAAGGTCAGGGGAGTTGGCTGGCCAATTTAGAACAGAAATACCATGGTCCGTAAACCAGGCACGGGTAGATTTTGCGCTGTGTGCAGGCGCCAAGTCCTGTTGGAACCTGAAATCTCCATCTCCATAGAGCAGGTCAGCAGCAGGAAGCATGAAGTGCTCTAAAACTTGCTGGTAGACGGCTGCGTTGACCCTTGATCTCAGGAAACAGAGTGGACCGACACCAGCAGATGACATGGCACCCCAAACCATCACTGATGGTGGAAACTTTACACTAGACTTCAGGCAACGTGGATCCTGTGCCTCTCCTGTCTTCCTCCAGACTCTGGGACCTCGATTTCCAAAGGAAATGCAAAATTTGCTTTCGTCAGAAAACATGACTTTAGACCACTCAGCAGCAGTCCAGCTCTTTTTTTCCTTAGCCCAGGTGAGACGCTTTTCGCGCTGTTTCTTGGTCAACAGTGGCTTGACACGAGGTATGCGGCAGTTGAAACCCATGTCTTTCAAGCGTCTCTTGGTGGTGGATCTTGAAGCCCTGACTCCAGCAGCTGTCCACTCCTTGTGAATCTCCCCCACATTTTTGAATGGGTTTTTTTTCACAATCTTGACTAGGGCGCGGTGATCCCTATCGCTTGTACACTTTTTCTGACCACAGTTTTTTCCTTCCCTTTGCCTCTCTATTAATGTGTTTGGACACAGAGCTCTGAGAACAGCCAGCCTCTTCTGCAATAACCTTTTGTGTCTTTCCCTCCTTGTGCAATGTGTCGATGGTCGCCTTTTGGACAGCTGTCAAATCTGAAGTCTTCCCCATGTTTGTGTAGGCTTCAGAACTGGACTGAGAGACCATTTAAAGCCCTTTGCAGGTGTTTTGAGTTAATCAGCTGATTATTTTGTGGCACCAGGTGTCTTCAAAATGTAACCCTTACACAATATTCTAATTTTGTGACACACGGAATTTTGGATTTTCATTTGTTGCCACTTCAAATCATCAAAATTAAATGAAATAAACATTTGAATGCATCAGTCTGTGTGCAATGAATAAATATAATGTACAAGTTACACCTTTTGAATGCAATTACTGAAATAAATCAAGTTTTTCAAAATATTCTAATTTACTGACTTTTACCTGTATATATATATATATATATATATATATATATATATATATATATATATATATATATATATATATATATATATACATACACACACACACACACAGTGGGGAGAACAAGTATTTGATACACTGCCGATTTTGCAGGTTTTCCTACTTACAAAGCATGTAGAGGTCTGTAATTTTTATCATAGGTACACTGACGGAATCTAAAACAAAAATCCAGAAAATCACATTGTATGATTTTTAAGTAATTAATTTGTATTTTATTGCATGACATAAGTATTTGATACATCAGAAAAGCAGAACTTAATATTTGGTACAGAAACGTTTGTTTGCAATTGCAGAGATCATACATTTCCTGTAGGTCTTGACCAGGTTTGCACACACTGCAGCAGGGATTTTGGCCCACTCCTCCATATAGACCTTCTCCAGATCCTTCAGGTTTCGGGGCTGTCGCTGGGCAATACGGACTTTCAGCTCCCTCCAATGATTTTCTATTGGGTTCAGGTCTGGAGACTGGCTAGGCCACTCCAGGACCTTGAGATGCTTCTTACGGAGCCACTCCTTAGTTGCCCTGGCTGTGTGTTTCGGGTCGTTGTCATGCTGGAAGACCCAGCCACGACCCATCTTCAATGCTCTTACTGAGGGAAGGAGGTTGTTGGCCAAGATCTTGCGATACATGGCCCCATCCATCCTCCCCTCAATACGGTGCAGTCGTCCTGTCCCCTTTGCAGAAAATCATCCCCAAAGAATGATGTTTCCACCTCCATGCTTCACGGTTGGGATGGTGTTCTTGGGGTTGTACTCATCCTTCTTCTTCCTCCAAACACGGCGAGTGGAGTTTAGACCAAAAAGCTCTATTTTTGTCTCATCAGACCACATGACCTTCTCCCATTCCTCCTCTGGATCATCCAGATGGTCATTGGCAAACTTCAGACGGGCCTGGACATGCGCTGGCTTGAGCAGGGGGACCTTGCGTGCGCTGCAGGATTTTAATCCATGACGGCGTAGTGTGTTACTAATGGTTTTCTTTGAGACTGTGGTCCCAGCTCTCTTCAGGTCATTGACCAGGTCCTGCCATGTAGTTCTGGGCTGATCCCTCACCTTCCTCATGATCATTGATGCCCCACAAGGTGAGATCTTGCATGGAGCCCCAGACCGAGGATGATTGACCGTCATCTTGAACTTCTTCCATTTTCTAATAATTGCGCCAACAGTTGTTGCCTTCTCACCAAGCTGCTTGCCTATTTTCCTGTAGCCCATCCCAGCCTTGTGCAGGTCTACAATTTTATCCCTGATGTCCTTACACAGCTCTCTGGTCTTGGCCATTGTGGAGAGGTTGGAGTGTGTTTGATTGAGTGTGTGGACAGGTGTCTTTTATACAGGTAACGAGTTCAAACAGGTGCAGTTAATACAGGTCATGAGTGGAGAACAGGAGGGCTTCTTAAAGAAAAACTAACAGGTCTGTGAGAGCCGGAATTCTTACTGGTTGGTAGGCGATCAAATACTTATGTCATGCAATAAAATGCTGGATTTTTGTTTTAGATTCCGTCTCTCACAGTTGAAGTGTACCTATGATAAAAATTACAGACCTCTACATGCTTTGTAAGTAGGAAAACCTGCAAAATCGGCAGTGTATCAAATACTTGTTCTCCCCACTGTATATATAATACATACACACACACACACACACACACACACACACACAGTTTGGACTTAGTTGTCCCGAAAAATAAATATTCAAAAACACTTCAATGTTTGGCAGGTATAGATCCAGGACAAGGATTAGTGTAAAATACTACCAGAGGCCTCTACAAACATCATTCAAACTGCCACACCAAAGCATAGACAACAGGCTCTCACTACTACGATTGAAAACCACCAGGGTCAAAGCACAAAGAAAACAACTAACACATGTACTGAGGTCAACACACACACCACACACAGAATTATAAGTGATATAACACAGTATGTATACACAGGCAGCTGTCCTCTCTCACCTCGTACTGCTGCATTAGCTGGACCATGGAGTCTCCTATAAACAGCACCTCCGGCTCCGCGTCCTTACACTCCTGAACAAACCGTGTGTGCTGCAGAAACAACAACATGATGTCATCACCAGGCAGACACTCTACTACACAACAGGATAATGTTGGTGCAGATAGAGATGGACATAGGAGGGTAATGACACTCTGTTTCAGCCATGTTAGGTTTCCTCTATGCCAGGGATCATCAACTAGATTCAGCCGTGGGCCGATTATTTTCTTGAGGGGTTGGTCAGGGGGCCGGAACATAACTACAAATAATTTGTAGACTGCAAGAAGCCCAAACAGATATAATATTTGACTAAAACATAGTAATTTCAAATCTTGCTTACATTTGTATACGATCACATACAGTAGATCTCTATTATGTGTGAGAATACTTTGGAACAGATTTTTCAAAATTAAAATCACTTGGGGCTGATTTGCTGGTATTTTCTACAGTCATGTCCAACAATAATAATACAAATACATATTATTTTTTTGCTCAGAAAACTTGGGGGGCCAAATAAAAACAAACTTGGGGAACCCTGCTCTATGTTCTCTAGACAGATGTATTGCCAACAATCAGTGACCTCTGGGTCAGCTGATGACAGGACAGTATGACTTGGTGTTCCTTATAGTCCAAGGACCTTACAGGTTCTGTTTAAAGGCGAACTGGCTCTGAAAGCCAAAACAGCCAAATACTCCTTCTAAACTTGAATCAATTCTCAATTGTGCTACAGTTCTATAAACATAAATCCCTCTACTTTCATATCACATCTAAATAATTTCAAACGCAAAATAAACACTTACTGTACACCGTTTTAACAGTTGCAGCCGACAGTATTTTTCAGTGACAACACGTTTGTGTAGGGCTGGGCGATATAACAAATTAGTTAGAATGTATGTTTTAGCACGATGTTCCAACTGCCTGTATCGTAACAATCTACAGTGAGGGAAAAAAGTATTTGATCCCCTGCTGATTTTGTATGTTTGCCCACTGACAGAGAAATGATCAGTCTATAATTTTAATGGTAGGTTTATTTGAACAGTGAGAGAAAGAATAACAAAAAAATCCAGAAAAACGCATGTCAAAAATGTTATAAATTGATTTGCATTTTAATGAGGGAAATAAGTATTTGACCCCCTCTCAATCAGAAAGATTTCTGGCTCCCAGGTGTCTTTTATACAGGTAACGAGCTGAGATTAGGAGCACACTCTTAAAGGGAGTGCTCCTAATCTCAGTTTGTTACCTGTATAAAAGACACCTGTCCACAGAAGCAATCAATCAGATTACAAACTCTCCACCATGGCCAAGACCAAAGAGCTCTCCAAGGATGTCAGGGACAAGATTGTAGACCTACACAAGGCTGGAATGGGCTACAAGACCATCGCCAAGCAGCTTGCTGAGAAGGTGACAACAGTTGGTGCGATTATTCGCAAATGGAAGAAACACAAAATAACTGTCAATCTCCCTCGGCCTGGGGCTCCATGCAAGATCTCACCTCGTGGAGTTGCAATGATCATGAGAACGGTGAGGAATCAGCCCAGAACTACACGGGAGGATCTTGTCAATGATCTCAAGGCAGCTGGGACCATAGTCACCAAGAAAACAATTGGTAACACACTACGCCGTGAAGGACTGAAATCCTGCAGCGTCCGCAAGGTCCCCCTGCTCAAGAAAGCACATATACAGGGCCGTCTGAAGTTTGCCAATGAACATCTGAATGATTCAGAGGAGAACTGGGTGAAAGTGTTGTGGTCAAAATCGAGCTCTTTGGCATCAACTCAACTCGCCGTGTTTGGAGGAGGAGGAATGCTGCCTACGACCCCAAGAACACCATCCCCACCGTCAAACATGGAGGTGGAAACATTATGCTTTGGGGGTGTTTTTCTGCTAAGGGGACAGGACAACTTCACCGCATCAAAGGGACGATGGACGGGGCCATGTACTGTCAAATCTTGGGTGAGAACCTCCTTCCCTCAGCCAGGGCATTGAAAATGGGTTGTGGATGGGTATTCCAGCATGACAATGACCCAAAACACACGGCCAAGGCAACAAAGGAGTGGCTCAAGAAGAGGCACATAAGGTCCTGGAGTGGCCTAGCCAGTCTCCAGAACTTAATCCCATAGGAAATCTGTGGAGGGAGCTGAAGGTTTGAGTTGCCAAACGTCAGCCTCGAAACCTTAATGACTTGGAGAAGATCTGCGAAGAGGAGTGGGACAAAATCCCTCCTGAGATGTGTGCAAACCTGGTGGCCAACGTCAAGAAAGGTCTGACCTCTGTGATTGCCAACAAGGGTTTTGGCACCAAGTACTAAGTCATGTTTTGCAGAGGGGTCAAATACTTATTTCCCTCATTAAAATGCAAATCAATTTATAACATTTTTGACATGCGTTTATCTGGATGTTTTTGTTGTTATTCTGTCTCTCACTGTTCAAATAAACCTACCATTAAAATTATAGACTGATCATGTCTTTGTCAGTGGGCAAACGTACAAAATCAGCAGGGGATCAAATACTTTTTCCCCCTCACTGTAGATACTTGTTAAACATTTATGTATTTTTGGTCTCGCCTTCGCTCCTTCTGTGCACTGTGCATCTTCCCACACACACAGACACCAAGCCCCTCCCCCTGCCACTCACAACAACAAAATATAACTTATTCTTCTCTGACAACAAGCACTTTAAACTCGCCATTTGCATTTGAGGATTGGTCCAACAGAATTGGTCATATGGACACCGAAACGCTTAAGAGACACTATTTTACTGTAATAGACGAGAACTTAACCTTTCGAACAATACCCAAAATACAGAACAGAGCAGACCCTACCAAAATGAGAGTATCAATGAACATGATTGTGGAAAATTAATGCTCGGTTACTGTCGCACGCGGCATTGCGGTACCGCTAGCAGCATTTTAGACTTAAGTGCTAGCTGTCTAGTCTGTGCTTTATAAAATGTGCAATGAGCATAAAAAGACACATTTATATAAGGAATTCGCAACTAGTTCTCATTCTGAGAACAAAGCATCTTCTTATCCAGGTAGGCCACTTGACTTCAACATCTGAACAAAGTGGACAGGCTAGCATGCTGTTCAGAGGGTGTACTCATAACAGTTCAACTGTTCTGCCTCGTTAGCAAGCAAATAGATCTAAATTGGCTAGACTTTAAATACACTGAACAAAAACGCAACATGTAAAGTGTTGGTCCCATGTTTCATGTGCTGAAATAAAAGAGCCCAGAAATGTTCCTTATGCACAAAATGCTTATTTCTCTCAAATGTTGTGCACAAATTTGTTTACATCCCTGTTAGTGAGCATTTCTCCTTTGCCAAGATAATCCATCCACCTGACAGGTGTGGCATATCAAGAAGCGGATTAAACAGCATGATCATTACACAGGTGCACCTTGTGCTGGGGCCAATAAAAGGCCACTAAAATGTGCAGTTTGGTAACGCAACACAATGCCACAGATGTCTGAAGTTGAGGGAACGTGCAATTGGCATGCTGACTGCAGGAGTGTCCACCAGAGCTGTTGCCAGAGTACTGAATGTTCATTTCTCTATCATAAGCCGCCTCCAATGTCATTTTAGAGAATTTGGCAGTACGCCCAACCAGCCTCAAAACCGCAGACCACGTGTATGGCGCCGTGTGGGCAAATGGTTTACTGATGTCAACGTTGTGAACAGAGTGCCCCATGGTGGCGGTGGGGTTATGGTATGGGTAGGCATAAGCTATGGACAACGAACACAATTGCATTTTATCGATGGCAATTTGAATGCACAGATATCGTGATGAGATCCTGATGCAGATTGTCGTGCCATTCATCCGCCGCCATCACCTCATGTTTCAGCATGATAATGCACAGCGCCATGTCGCAAGGATCTGTACAAGATTCCTGCCAGCTGAAAATGTCCCAGTTCTTCCATGGCCTTCATACTCACCAGACATGCCACCCATTGAACATCTTTGGGATGCTCTGGATCGACGTGTACGACAGCGTGTCCTGCCAATATCCAGCAACTTTGCACAGCCATTGAAGACGAGTGGGACAACATTCCATAGGCCATAATCAACAGCCTGATCAACTCTATGTGAAGGAGATGTGTCACGCTGCATGAGGCAAATGGTGGTCACACCAGATACTGACTGCTTTTCTGATCCACGCCCCTACCTTTATTTTTTAAAGGTATCTGTGACCAACAGATGCATATCTGTATTGCCAGTCATGTGAAATCCATAGATTTGGGCCTAATTTATTTATTTCAATTGACTGGTTTCCTTATATGAACTGTAACTCAGTAAAATCTTTGAAATTGTTGCATGTTGCGTTTATATTTTTGTTCAGCATATAAAGATTAGCTTGCTACTCACTAGCACGTGGGCTTGTGCTTAAGAGATTGTTTATGAAACCTGTGTTCATTTTCTATAATGCCTGCTACAAGAAGTTGGTTATTATTAGTGGATGTGCATGGTTCTGGTTAAATGTGTAAAAAAATTAAATTACGCATTTTCATAGACTTGAAAGCCAGGTTAAACTAAAATGATTACATCATTAGTGAGTCTTATGGTTGTGGAAGGCTTATATTTAGCCTAGGTATAATTTTACAAGCACTGAATTCATTAGATTATTCCTGTCTGTTTGAAATGAAGTGTATTGACCTTTAACTGTGCAACAATGCTTATTTAGAAAAGGAAATTGAAAAAAAAAGCGAGATATTCTGTATATCATGAATTGGCCATAACTTCATTTTTTGGGGGAGATATGATTTTTAGGCCATATCGCCCAGCATTACGTTTGTGGCGTCCGTCTTCTGGTTTACACAAAGGTGTTCGGAGACGCAGATAGCTAATTAGCACAGGTAGTCCACTCGGTCTTCTGTCTGTTTTCCGTAAACTAGCACAGTAATATGGAAATATGGCCATGTGGGAACCCTAACCCTATAAAAGGTGTGTATCAATTTAACCTTTTTTTTTTTTTACGATTTCTTGCAGATATGAATGATAAGGTCCTTATTTTTCTGAAATGTAATGCACGCATGACTGTAAGTCGCTTTGGATAAAAGCGTCTGCTAAATGGCATATTAATAATATTAATAAACCATACCGCAAGCGATGTGTGTTAATGTTCAGACCGAGCGTAGGGGCTCTTAAAAAAACACCCCCGTACAGAAGACGCCTTCGTCCAATAATACTTATGTGTAATGGAACTGAGAGTCAAGATCATGGGCTGGCAGTACGTAGACTAACCTGGGACATCCAGCGGTCATCTCCCTGTACATCCTCCACTGCCTGGGCCACTGCTGCTGGGTTCATCTCATCACCACTCATCCTATCAGAGACACATCACAGAGTTAACACACACACACAATTAAAAGAATAGCTATGTCCATTAATATGCCCTGAAGAATAACGTCATCTGGTAGGTTATTGTCAGACAGTTGTTGAGGCTAGCGTCTAGCTCTCAGTCCCCCTGCTGTGCACAGAGCGGGTGGTGATGGAGGTAGAGATAAAAGCGCCTGCTCACTAGGGAGGCCCCACACAGCCAGCCAAACAGCCAGGCTGGGGTGGGATGGGAGTATCTAATGACAACACCGAGGGCAATGAAGCCAAAGGGCTGGAATTGAGCACAATAATATGAATTGCTTACTGATAGCAACAACCCATGACTATAAAGTTACTAAGTGCTAGCAATTCAGCAAGCTTAAATTGAGTTCGAATTATCAGCAGATACGATTTCATTTTCGCGTCCCGAGCCAGACGACCAAGTAAGCACCAATAATCACTGCGGACTGTCGCTGTTGTCTCTCCAGACCAACACAAGGCACGCCCACTGGACAAGGGTCAGTCAATACGTGAAACCACCAGTACCCTACCCACGTACCAGGAGGCCTCTGATTCTGGTTAATTCTTGCCAATATAATCAGAATATTCCCTCGCGCACGGATGCTGCTGTCGCGTTTGGATGCTAGTTAGTTAGCTAGCTAGCTAGCTAGCAACTTACCCTGATTAAATTAACTCCTTGTTTTCAGTCAATAAACAACTACGATATAGCTTATATGTTGTTATAACTCCAACAAACAACTATCTGCAAAATAAATGTCTGAAATTATTCTAAATGTGAAATGTATGGGTCGAGTCAACCCAACCTCCCGCTCTTCAGCATCCGACGCTTCCTTTCCCCTCCCTCCTTTTCTCTCTCCCCCTCCCTCCTTTTCTCTCTCCCCCCTCCCTCCTTTTCTCTCTCCCCCTCCCTCCTTTTCTCTCTCCCCCTCCCTCCTTTTCTCCCTCCCCCTCCCTCATTTTCTCCCTCCCCCTCCCTCATTTTCTCTCTCCAGTGAAGTCTCAATGGCCCACTTCCGCTTTTCCGCCCATCTAGATGAGTCTTCTTCTCCTTCTTCTTCGGTATAATGGCGTTCCCAACAATTATATGTGCATTCCGCCACCTACTGTACAGGTGGATAATAAGGATTAAAAGGAAAACAATTAAATGTAAAAGTATTATTTTTCCATACAAACTATCAGTAACGAAACGTTAATTCAACTAAATCAGGCTGCTTTTCTGTTTTAATCAGGTCAGAAGGATCCTGTGATGGCGGGATATTTCCTGGCGATAGTAGTCCTTGCAGTGCTTCTGCTGGTAAGTCTTGGATGCCCAAAAACTTATCGGCTGCAGATATGATGTCCAGATTCTTGGACTTCTTGAACACTTGTGCAGTACAATTAAGAATTGTGGCTACAAATGCATCAAAATCCACCTTTTTCACAATAAGTGTATCCAGATCACTTGATTTAAGTATAACATTTGCAGATGGTTGTGGAGCATCCACCGCCATATCTTCTTCAGAACTGGGGCCTCTTGCCCCCTTCAACGCCTCCACATAGGAGATTTGCTGTACAGCCCTGATCCTTGACACCTCAACCTCTTTCACCCTAACAGGGCACTCAGGGAATTCGGAAATATGATCCCCACCACAGTTGCAACATTTTACATTCAGACTCTTCAATAACATATTACTTCCGTCTGCAAACACTTGACACATGGCCAAACTTTTTACACTTCTTGCATTGCATCGGGTTTTGCACGAACGTTCTTACGGCGTATCTTACATATCCCAACTTCACATAGGGTGGTAAATACTCATCAAACATCAATAATACAGATACACTTGGCTCCTTTTTCCCCATACGGGTCAAGCGACGTGCATTAACTACTCCTGGAATGTTTTGCCTAAGATATTAATTATATCAAATGGACGCCAGAAATAACACCTTTTACCGGTGCCCTGCTCCGAAAATCAAAGCTGTTCACTTCATGCGTCGATATTTTCGCGAGCCACAATGCACGCTCCTTTTACTCTTTAGATACACACGATATCAACGTCATACCACTCCTGGTTACTTTGACTGCATCCACTTTTGCCAACGTCTTCTTCACCATCCTCGTGACTTCAAAAGGGTTTCCCAAATGTACATTTTTATCCAAAAAACGTACTCCAACAAGGAACGATTCATCAGACTAATTTTCCACAACAATTTTAGCCCTTTTTGTTACATTCTTGGACTTCACTGTTGTCCACTCATCTTTCTCGCTAACTGTACTCGACGCGCTTTCAGCTTCAAACTACACTTCTGCTTCCGCAATCTCACGGTCCTACCGTGACAACCTTCTCTCTTCACCCCGTGCGATCTAGATGAGTCGTGTATCTCCAATTAAAGTATGTCCCGCCTCTTGTGCTTTCATTTAATACTAGGTAGGCATGTAAGTAGCACATTGAAAATCCTTATATTGACATGATTTCCGATCATTATTATATCAGTATCTTTAATTAGTGGGTTGGAAGGTAAATTACAGACTGAAGATGAATTTTAGGGTTCAGTGTAACACACAGTAATGTCCACGGGGTGGCAGCAGTCGCTGGATGCACAGTGCACCAAATACAGTGACACAACCTTTGCTTTAGTTGTTTTGTCACAAGAATATACACAACATGTTGTCCCAGAGACCTCATTAGGAACATCATACCTAAATGTTGTCCCAGCGAGGGACATCATACCTTGATATTGTCCCAGGGATATCAAAGGCCTAATTAGTGTATGTATTGCTACTGCCTGCACATGCATGCACACTTGGATGGAAATGACGGGGAGAAAAACAGATTTTGCCTGCGGGTAAAAGTAGGCCTGCAGAAGCAGTAGGAATACTTTACACAGAGTTTTGGTCAAACAAGTTTGACAAGACTGTGCATCACCCGCCCTCCACGCTGGCAAAGGCAAACAGTGTGTGATGCTGCCTATTTATGACCCCGCCTATAGTCCTAGTGCGCACATCGCCTTTGGTTTCAGACTCCCGAGTCCCTAGCGCTAAGATTCTTTATCAAAAACCTGTTGAGGTATGCCTTACATGACCCTTAAAACTTTCTAGTAACTGTTTGACATTTTGTCAGTCTTTAAAGCCTGAGCAAACTGCCAATCCGATGTGTCGGACATGGCTACAGTTCCTCGCGCTTCTGGGTGGATTTGCAGTGCCAGGTGAGTTAGACATTACTTCCTTAATTTCTGTAGGGCTCAAATGGCTACAGTTCAGGTGAACAGAGCCCCAATCTAATTTCCATCATAATGATAATGAGTAACCTACTCTTGATTCTATATACTTTATCATTATAGAATAGCTTGGGCATTGACATGTTTTTCAGGTAGACCAGGCCAACGATCAGTGATCAGCTCTCATGGATAATTATCAGACTATTTTAAATAATCCCACAGCACCCCCTCTCGCACCCATCTGAACAAAAATATAAACGCAACATGCATCAATTTAAAAGATTTTACTGAGTTACAGTTCATATAAGGAAATCAGTCAATTGAAATAAATTCATTAGGCCCTAATCTATGGATTTCACATGACTGGTAATACAGATATGCATCTGCTGGTCACAGATACCTTTTTTTTTAAAAGGTAGGGGCGTGTATCAGGAAACCAGTCAGTATGGTGTGATCACCATTTGCCTCATGCAGCGTGACACATCTCCTTCGCATAGAATTGATCAGGCTGTTGATTGTGGCCTGTGGAATGTTGTCGCACTCCTCTTCAATGGCTGTGCGAAGTTGCTGAATATTGGCGAGAACTGGAACATGCTGTCGTACTCGTAGATCCAGAGCATCCCAAACATGCTCAATGGGTGACATGTCTGGTGAGTATTCAGGCCATGGAAGAACTGGGACATTTTCAGCTTCTAGGAATTTTGTACAGAAACTTGCGACATGGCGCCGTGCATTATCATGCTGAAACATGAGGTGATGGTAAGGAATGAATGGCACGACAATGGGCCTTAGGATATCATCACGGTATCTCTGTGCATTCAAATTGCCATTGATAAAATGCAATTGTGTTCGTTGTCCATAGCTTATGCCTGCCCATACCATAACCCCACTGCCACCATGGGGCACTCTGTTCATAACGTTGACGTCAGCAAACCGCTCACCCACACGACGCCATACATGCTGTCTGCCATCTGCCCGGTACAGTTGAAACCGGGACTCATCCGTGAAGAGCACACTCCTCCAGAGTGACAGTGGCCATCGAAGTTGAGCATTTGCCCACTGAAGTCGGTTACGACGCCGAACTGCAGTCAGGTCAAGACCCTGATGAGGACGACGAGCACGCAGATGAGCTTCCCTGAGACGGTTTCTGACAGTTTGTGCAGAAATTCTTCGGTATTACAAACCCACAGTTTCATCAGCTGTCCGGGTGGCTGGTGTCAGACGATCCCGCAGGTGACGAAGCCGGATATGGAGGCCCTGGGCTGGCGTGGTTACACGTGGTCTGCGGTTGTGAGGCCGGTTGGACGTACTGCCAAATTCTCTAAAATGACGTTGGAGGTGGCTTATGGTAGAGAAATTAACATTCAGTTATCTGGCCACAGCTCTGGTGGACATTCCTGCAGTTAGCAAGCCAACTTCACGCTCCCTCAAAACTTGAGACATCTTTGGCATTGTATTGCTTGACAAAACTGCACATTTTAGAGGGGCCTTTTATTGTCCCCAGCGCAAGGGGTACCTGTGTAATAATCATGCTGTTTAATCAGCTTCTTGATATGCCACACTTGTCAGTTGGATGGATTATCTTGGCAAAGGAGAATGCGCACTAACAGGGATGTAAACAAATTTGTGCACAAAATTTGAGAGAAATAAGCTTTGTGTGCATAATATAAATACTATGGAAAATGTCTGGGCTCTTTTATTTCAGCTCATGAAACATGGGACCAACACTTTACATGTTGCGTTTATATTTTTGTTCAGTGTATAAGAACTAAGAATTAAGGTAGGTCTATACCCGTTTTGTTCCTTGTAGCCCTTTTCTGCAGTCAAATGACCTAGTGGCCTCATGGGTGGAATGTTATTAATATTTTATTAATAACATTATTTTTAAAAAAAACGCAGAAAATCCAGTGTTTCTATGTCAAACAGTTCTGTTATATTTTAGTGTTCTGTGATGCACATAAAGTGTAATATTGGGATGCAAACTGAAAATTTAATACATTTCAACTCTATATCTGACATGGTGCAGGTGTCTTATTTTTTTAAGCCCATAACCATGTGTGTGAGGTGTTTACTTTTGTTTCAAAGTGGATTTGTTTAAGACTACGAAGAAACACTCTGTATGACCCTGATTTAGCCCTCTGCAGTAAAAGGTTAAGAAACGTTTTGCAACAGAATTGGCGGAATGAATACACCCCTGATCACCCGCATGACATGCCAGCAACAAACGCTGACACTACACATCCAAGTATATCTGACCAAATTATGAAAGACAAGAATTGTAATTTTGAATTCCGTAAAGTGAGTGTGGAGGAGGTGAATAAATTATTGTTGTCTATCAACAATGACAAGCCACCGGAGTCTGACAACTTGGATGGAAAATTACTGAGGATAATAGCGGACGATATTTCCACTCCTATTTGCCATATCTTCAATTTAAGCCTACTAGAAAGTGTGTTCCCTCAGGCCTGGGGGGAAGCAAAAGTAATTCCGCTACCTAAGAATAGGAAAGCCCCCTTTACTAGCTCAAATAGCCGACCAATCAGCCTGTTACCAACCCTTAGTAAAGTTTTGGAAAAAATTGTGTTTGACCAGATACAATGCTATTTTACAGTAAACAATTTGACAACAGACTTTCAGTACGCTTATAGGGAAGGACATTCAACAAGCACAGCACTTACACAAATGGCTGGGAGAAATTGATGAGAAAAATATTGTGGGGGCTGTTTTGTTAGACTTCTGTGTGGCTTTTGACATTATCGATCATAGTCTGCTGCTGGAAAAACGTATGTGTTATGGCTTTACTCCTCCTGCTATATTGTGGATAAAGAGTTACCTGTCAAACAGAACACAGAGGGTGTTCGTTAATGGAAGCCTCTCCAACATAATCCAGGTAGAATCAGGAATTCCCCAGGGCAGCTGTCTAGGCCCCTTACTTTTTTCAATCTTTACTAACGACATGCCACTGGCTTTGAGTAAAGCCAGTGTGTCTATGTATGCGGATGACTCAACAATATACACGTCAGCTACCACAGTGACTGAAATGACTGCAACACTTAACAAAGAGCTGCAGTTAGTTTCAGAATGGGTGGCAAGGAATAAGTTAGTCCTAAATATTTCAAAAACTAAAAGCAACACAAATCATTCACTATACCCTAAACCGCAACTAAATCTTGTAATAAATAATGTGGAAATTGAGCAAGTTGAGGTGACTAAACTGCTTGGAGTAACCCTGGAGTGTAAACTGTCATGTTCAAAGCATATTGATACAAAAGTAGCTAAGATGAGGAGAAGTCTGTCCATAATAAAGCGCTACTCTACCTTCTTAACAGCACTATCAACAAGGCAGGTCCTACAGGCTCTAGTTTTGTCGCACCTGGACTACTGTTCAGTCGTGTGGTCAGGTGCCACAAAGAGGGACTTAGGAAAATTGCAATTGGCTCAGAACAGGGCAGCATGGCTGGCCCTTGGATGTACACAGAGAGCAAACGCTCATAATATGCATGTCAATCTCTCCTGGTTTAAAGTAGAGGAGAGATTGACTTAATCACTACTGGTATTTGTGAGCGGTATTGGCATGTTGAAAGCACCAAGCTGTCTGTTTAAACGACTAGCACACAGCTCAGACACCAGAGGTCTCTTCACAGTCCCCAAGTCCAGAATAGACTATGGGAGGCGCACAGTACTACATAGAGCCATGACTACATGGAACTCTATTCCACATCAGGTAACTGATGCAAGCAGTAGAATCAGATTTTTTTTTTAAAGATATGAAAACACACCTTATGGAACAGCGGGGACTGTGAAGCAACACAAACATAGGCACAGGCACATGCATACACACACGATAACATACGCACTATACACACACGTACACATGGATTCTGAGTTGTAGATATGTGGTAGTGGAGTATGGGCCTGAAGGCACACACTTAGTGTGTTGTGAATTCTGTAATGAATGTATTGTAATTTTTATAAAATTGTATAACTGCCTTAATTTTGCTGGACTTCAGGAAGAGTATGGGGATCCATAATAAATACAAATACACACAGTTCACTTTCATAGCAGCTATACAAACAGCATCACCACATCTACACGCTCTCCTCCTCTCACATTTTCCCTTCGCTTGTGGAATTCAGTGCACAACACAACAGCTGTCTGTGCCCAGGCGAAAAAACCACTCCAAGCCAAACCTTCATACCATAACCGCTACACACAGCCTACATCGCTGTCACCATATTAGCTAACGTCATAGTCAACATACACTACATGACCAAAAGTATGTGGACACCTGCTCGTCGAACATCTCATTCCAAAATCATGGGCATTAATATGGAGTTGGTCCCCCCTTTGCTGCTATAACAGCATCCACTCTTCTGGGAAGGCTTTCCACTAGATGTTGGAACATTGCTGCGGGGACTTGCTTCCATTCAGCCACAAGAGCATTACTGAGGTCGGGCACTGTTGTTGGGCGATTAGGCCTGGATCGCAGTCGGCGTTCCAATTCATCCCAAAGGTTTTCAATGGGGTTGAGGTCAGGGCACTGTGCAGGCCAGTCAAGTTCTTCCACACCGATCTCGACATACGATTTCTGTATGGATCTCGCTTTGTGCACGGGGGCATTGTCATGCTGAAACAGGAAAGGGCCTTTCCCAAACTGTTGCCACAAAGTTGGAAGCACAGAATCGTCTAGAATGTCATTGTATGCTGTAGCGTTAAGATTTCCCTTCACTTGAACTAAGGGGCCTAGCCCGAACCATGAAAAACACCACAGACCATTATTCCTCCTCCACCAAACTTTACAGTTGGCACTATGCATTGGGGCAGGTAGCGTTCTCCTGGCATCCGCCAAATCCAGATTTGTCTGTTGGACTGCCAGATGGTAAAGCGTGTTTTCACTGCTCCAGAGTTCAATGGCGGTGAGCTTTACACCACTCCAGCCGACGCTTGGCATTGAGCATGGTGATCTTAGGCTTTAGCACTTGGCGGTCCCGTTCTGTGAGCTTGTGTGGCCTACCACTTCGCGGCTGAGCTGTTGTTTCTCCTAGTCGTTTCCACCTCACAATAACAGCACTTACAGTTGACCGGGGCAGCTCTAGCAGGGCAGAAATTTGACGAACTGACTTGTTGGAAAGGTGGCATCCTATGACGGTGCCATGTTGAAAGTCACTGAGCTCTTCAGTAAGGCCATTCTACTGCCAATGATTGTCTATGGAGATTGCATGGCGGTGTGCTCAATTTTATACACCTGTCAGCAGGTGCGCAACTTTCACTGGAGACGGGGGGGACATGTCCCCCCACATTCTGAAATTGTATTTTTGTCCCCCCCAGTTTTATTATTAGAATGTGATACAAAACGAGGCGAAGTGTGCTTTAGGGCCATGCGGACGCCTCAGAGCAGTCGGGTAGGCTGTTAGGAGTGTATATCCGACTGGATGATTTTATTTATTTATTTATTTATTTATAATAAAAAATGATGTGCCCCCCACTTCTAAATCCAAAGTTGTGCCCCTGCCTCTCAGTGTGGCTGAAATAGCTGAATCCACTAATTTGAAGGGGTGTTCACATACTTTTGTATACATAGTGTAGATACTAGAACTAACACGTTAGTAAACCCACAATCCAATCCATGTGTAGAATGACGCAGTAATGTACAGCAAGCAGTTTAGCAGTTACACCGGCTGGCCCCGGTGGCAATAAATGAATACAACCAAAAGCTTACCTTGAATTGGAAGAGTTGGTGTGTTGGATAGCCTTAGCTTGCTAGCTAACATAAATATCATTCCTCTCTGTTTGAGTCAGGTTCTTGAGTAGGCTAAATTAGCTGCATAAGCTAGCTTAAGTAAAACTGAAACTGGAAGGAAAAAAATACAACGAAATATATCTTTCTCTCTCTCTCTCTCTCTCCATCTGCTGCTTCTCCTTAATTTTTGAAGAAATTAATTTGTGATAAAAAAAAAACCGATTGTCTTTCGCTCTCTTTGAGTCAACTACTCACCACCAAAGCCACGGGGCCTTTATTACTCCTGTATGAGCAGACAAAAATAGTCATCAGCAGCACAAGGAGAAAAAATACTGCTATTGACACACTGTTGAATTATGCAACAAAACGTGACAACAACAGTAATATATGAGGCAGTCTAGACAGCGCAGGTGAGTACAGGTAGGCCTAGACAGAGCAAGGGTTTTGGTGGTTGCAGGCCTGTTCCATCCCTTTATGTTAATGTATACGTATATGCAAATTCACCTGGTGTATTAAAAAAAAAGATTATATATATATTTTTAAATACAATACCTGATACCATTAGAACATGTACAGGCTATATCAGTGTATTCTAAGAAAAAAAAAGTTACATTTGATAATAAATTGAATAGGCTACCTGAATTCCCACCAAAATCCCAGAATTCCATTAATTAATTGTCCGTGCCAATGGGTACAGATGGAAGATAGAATGTTTGCCAGAAGAGCTTTATCAAAATCCTTTAATACTCCCTGGCTGGTTCAGTCTCCTATACGTGGACCTCTGGACTGAACACCTACAATCATTAACCAGCCACATGCTGATATCATTAACCACACATACACCACACACACACACACTCTGCCCAATATAACACAATGAGTGCCTGGCACAGCAGTGGAATGCTGAATGAATCATTACAGGGCCATTCCACCTGCTTTCTAATTTCTTTTTTTTTTTTTATAGTTGATTTGCTCTTTCAGTTTGCTTTGTGTTTGACTTAAGTGTGAATTAGAACTCTAGCTCACCTTATTGTGGTGATTGGTCCACACTGGACTACACAAAGGACTGTAGGAGAGGAAACACACTTGAAGGGTTTGACTGAGTACAAATTGCAGCATTTAAGGGAGGGAGGGTACACTTAGTGAGCTACAGTGATTTGAGGAGTGTAGTCAGTGTACCACTTGGCTCTTGAAAGTCAAGGCCACGTTTACTGAAGATGCACTGTATAGTTCTGTGTATACTGAAGCAAGTGGGCTAAGTTTAAACTGAAGATATGTAAACAGACACGGTTGTTTTTAAAACCACTAACAACCTTCTCATGGTCATATGCATCCTTGAAGCTGTGAAATAAAGATTTTTGTGTTTAATAGTGTGCTCTGAATGTTCTGTGAGGACTTTGATAAGGTGCTTGCTCATGCTGCTCTGTGTTATTTAAATGCATTTATTGTATATAGTGTATACTGGACGGTATATCTGTGCCCACGTGTCTCATTGGGTCCATTCTTTGTGTCAGGTGTGCTGCGAGTTGGTGGGATGGAGGTTTTTATGTCCAATGAGGTGGAGGCGGTGAACGGGACAGAAGTGAGACTGAAGTGCACCTTTAAGTCCAAACACCCCGTGTCCCACTCCTCTGTGACTGTCTCCTGGAACTTCCGTCCCTTGGGCCAGGGAGCCGAGGAGTCGGTGGGTGACCTTTCCACACTGGAAGCAGGACTAACAGTAGTCATGCAGCGAATGTGTCTGAATTAGGAGGAAGACTGGGTTAGACATTGGAACACACCTTTGTAGTACAGGTTCTTACATGAGTCAAATCCAAATCTAGCGAGTCTATTGAGTCATCACTTTAGGTTTCTTGAACCACTGTGAATGTGTGTGATGTTTATTAATGTATGTATTCTTTGAAACGTGTTTGTTTGTGTCAGGTGTTTTACTACCAGGAGATGGCATACCCCCCTACAGAGGGGCGGTTTAAGGGCCATGCAGTGTGGTCAGGGGACATCCTGAGACAGGACGCCTCCATCAGCCTCCAGGACATTCCCTTCACCTTCAACGGCACCTACACCTGCCAGGTTCGCAACCTTCCTGACGTCCACGGCATCAACGGAGAGGTCACCCTCAGGGTCGTCCACAAAGGTCAGTCAGCCAGTCAGTCAATCTGACAATTAATGTAAGTTCACAAATATCTACTCTATGTCAAAATGTACTGTATAAGTCTACCAGCCACGTGTAAAGGGTTATTGAGGAATGTCAGTCAGTGCTAATGCATTGCTGTGTGTGTTCATGTTGTGCTGTGCTGCTCCCTCCAGTGTCCGTCTCTGAGATAGGCATCCTGGCTGTAGCCATCGGGGGAGCTATCGCCATAGTCCTGGTGGTGCTGGGCATCTTTGTGGTGTTCAAGTACCGCAAACTCAATCGCCACGCCAACACAGACCTGGAGCTGCTGGGGAGGGAACTGCAGGAGAGAGAGTTAAATGCCAGGGTCCTAGAGGAGAGGGAGCTAAATGCCAGGGATAAGAAGGAGTGGAAGGACCCTACAGTGTGTTGAGGGATCTAGGGGGGTTCAGGGGTCAGGGGCACGTCCCTTCCCTACCTCTGCTGGTATGGGGAAGGTGTCCTGTCTGGATGGACTGGTCTCTGACTAGAGGGGCTGGCCAGTCCAGGACAACACTGTTTGGGAGGGACTAATTAATTTGCGGGGGGTGTTCTGCTTTCTTCTACCCTCTGCTCACCTCTCCCTCAATATGAGCCACACAGACTGAACTTGCTACTGTAGTTGAACTAACCCCAGTATTAGGGATCCCTTTACGTTCCGCTAGTTTAAATTTCAGGCACCATTTCATGCATTTAATGTTTTTTTTTACAAACAACTATGTGATTGTATTTTGACTATGTAGTATTATGACTACTAGTAGTCTATTTGAGTCCATTATTTTATTGCGTAATAGTCCAAGAGATACCAATATGTTGGAGGAGTTTTCTTTACCAAAATTGCTGTTCTTTGGAACTTTTTCACTGACATCAACTCACACCGGGACTGCTGGCCCAGCTGCCTGACCTAGGCTGGTATGTCTATCTGTCTGGGCTTCTCTGCTTTAACTCTTATTAGATATGGTTGAATTGGCACCAGCAGCAGTCTCTTGGTGTGGTGGCGTCCAACTAGCAGACTGTGGTTCAGCAACTCTTTGCTCCAGTATTCATCTTCTTTTTCATCACATTTGGTCTGGTAGCCATTTGTTCCAAATTAATTTACAGAATTATTTGAACACTTGAATAATCAACATTGCTCTAAAGCTGAGCTAATGGCTCATATGAACATAATTCCAAAATGAATGTATTTGACAGCAGATTTGTGAGTGTGTTTTGTGGTTATGGTCAAGGTCCCATCGGGAGTTAAGTCAATGAAACACTTTTGTTAAACCTGTGGTATCTGGAGGTGGCTAAGGTTAAGGCTAAGGGCAGGTGGAAGCCCTGTATCTGGAGGTGGCCAACACTCTCCTGCTTCCTGGAACAATGACAACATAAATGACTACCTATTACTTCTGGACATAAAAAGGAACTGTTATGCATCTTTGAATGCAGAAGAAGAACCCCACCATTCCAAGAAGCCTGTTTTCAATGGGTTTTGTAGTTTTTGTGAACTGATGTTGCCACCATGTGTCCATTATAGGAAGCAGCTCCATCTCTCTCGCTCTGTGTCCATGCTGAGGATCATGGGCGTTGTGGTCTCAAAGGTTTCTCCCTCTCTCTTACTCTGCCTCTCCTGTTGTATTACAAAGCTGCCCTTGAGCCTAATGAACAGAGGAATCTATACAAGACACTGTCAACACCCCAGCCTGCCGCTCACTCCTACAGTGTACACAAGTATGGCTTTCAGTTTACAAGAAACATGAAGATGTCACTGACCCAGTCATGAGGACATCACCAGTCCATTCTAGCAGGAGACTCTACAAGCTGCTGGTTCTGTTCTCCTGCCTCTGCAGTTATCCAGCCTGATGTGTTGTGTCCCGTCTGATCAATTCCTGCCTCTAGCCAGCCCCATAACCCTCCCATGGGAATGGAAACGGCATTCTCCTGATAAAGAATTCTGTGAATGATTCTATTGATTTATTTCATGCATGCGTTTGTAAAGATCAAAACTGTATATTTTATCACACGTTTTATAAGGCAGAGAGGTTTATTTTATTGTGTGTTTTTCAATAAAGGAATGCTTGTTTTTAAAATATTTGCACCAAATATGATGGTTTTCGTGACATAAGATATAGGTTGTAAAGACTAGAAAGTTGTTCTAACAAGATAGATACAGTACAGAAATGGAGGCATAAAAGAGACAAAGCATAGCAGAGAGATGGCTGCCTATCATTGGCTGCCTATCACAATGGCTGCCTATCATTGGCTCCCTATCACAATGGCTGTCTATCATTGGCTCCCTATCACAATGGCTGCCTATCATTGGCTCCCTATCACAATGGCTGCCTATCATTGGCTCCCTATCACAATGGCTGCCTATCGTTGGCTGCCTATCACAATGGCTGCCTATCATTCACTCTCAGATCGAACTTCCTAATCCAGAAAACACAAGAATTAATGGCAACAATTACAGGCTACACAACTGTTTACCTTGGAGACGGACTGAGCAATGTCACTTCCATGCAGTATGATGCAATGGTTTCATTTGCTTAGCTTATTGCTATTAGTGTTGCACTGGTTATGGATGAACACTGTTTGACGAGGGTAGGGAGAGGTTTTCAGCCATCTAAACATTCACCAGCAGTAGGTGTGTTTATACAGTGAATCATGTCTTATCTCTGGCCATGTGATGATGACCTGACTAGTTTTGTGAAAGAGGGTGCCACCTTGTTTCATGTTGCGTCCCATTTGAAACATTCACCAGGAGTATAATCTATACTGTTTACTGTACACATTAATATCTGCTTTCACGTGTGTAGCCTTCCTGCTGTAGAGACAGCCACACCAACACACCCGGGGTCAGGCCAGGCTGGGTAGTGCCTGTGTGAGCAGGCAGGTGTTGTGTAGAAAAGCTGGTTTTGTGTGGTTTAAACTGCAGAGTTTCCCAAACCCGGTCCTAGAGCCCCCACCCGGGTGCACGTTTTGGTTTTTGCCCTAACACTTCACAGCTGATTCAAATAATCAGTTTGATGATGAGTTGGTTATTTGAATCAGCTGTGTAGTGCTAGGGTAAAAACCAAAACGTGCACCCTCTAAGGGGGGCCCAGGGCCGAGTTTGGGAAACCCTGGTTTAGAGTGTCTTGGACTATCCCAGTGACATGTGAGGACCTGCCACTGGCTCTGTGTTTGCAGGGCTTTGTTGGGCTGAAATAAAAGCTGCCTCCTTGATACTCTAAATAACTCTGGCTAAGGATGATAGATTCTTCAGACAGATAAACTGGAGGTGGAACAGAAGACTCTTTATTCACACAACTCCAAAAACCTTGATTCACCTTTACATGCAGTACACACCCAGAAAGACCCTTATACACATTATACACAATTATACACATTATATACACAATTATATACACATTATACACAATTATATACACATTATACACAATTATATACATATTATACACATCATACAGAAAGACATGCAGATATTCTAATTAGTCTAGACTGGATATACATTTTAAAGATACAGTATCATTTGTTTGATTTACTGTGAAATATGTTTTCCCTGATATTGTGAGTTACAGTTTGTGGTTAGGTCATTGTGTTTGTGTTTGAGAACTAGATCATTTATAGAGTAAAAGTACATGAGACTAAATTATTTTAATATTTATTTTAGTCAGTGACCTTGACCTTGAGTAAAGGGAAAATGGAGAAAGAAAGAGACAGGGAAAGTGGGAGAAAATCAGCAATATGTTGCAACAATTTAGGTCATGCATTCATCTTGTGAGAGTTTTGTTTAGCCTTGTCACAGTCTGTTAATGGTTTTTCCTTACTTTAATGTTAATGTTGCAGGTACTTAACTAGTCACTTTAGTGGTACTTATGCTTGAGTCCATGCATGTTCACATGTGTGCAGCGGTGTACGTTTGCCTGTGTGTCCTCAAGATGGAATGCCCGGTTTGCTGTCCTAAGCACGTGTATGTGTAAGTAGGTATCTAGAATGTGCTTATAATAGTGTGTGTGATAGTGTGTTTGTATACATGAAGGTGTGTGTGTGTGTATACGTGAGGGTGTGTGTGTGTGTATACGTGTGTGTGCGTGCTCTTGCGCTGCAGTAAATCAGTGTGTACCCATCTCCTCCCCCTGGAGCAGAAGCTGTTCTGCAGCAACGGCAGAGGACACCTACTCATTCAAGGGTGTGTGGGTGTGTATGTGTTTTAGAATGAGGGTGTCTTTTGAGGATGTATGGTTGTGAATATTAGTGCGTTGAATGTATATTGTATGAGTGATGAAGGTGGTGCTTGTGAGTGTGTGTATATCTGATGAGTGTAATTATGGGATCCCTGCACAGGTCTGCAGCACCCTTCTCTTTCTGTTTTTTTCTCTCAGTTCTGGAAGCGTTCCCAACTCTGCTGCAATTATTCTCTGGTGGAAGAGCCCGGAAGGAAGAGCAGTGTGTCTGATCACAGCACCTCTCATATGGACCTCCCACACACACACACACACACACACACACAACCGCAAACAATTTTTTCAGAATTCTAGATAATCTTGCACTTATTTTGTAGTTCTATCCTATGCAATAATGTACCAGTCATGTGTCCTGGCCTGGTGCCAGCTCTGTTGCTGTAATGTCATGCAGCCATGTGATGACTAGACACAATCTCATATGTCCATATTGATGCTATGGATGGATGGACGCAGACACTTTAATACACTCTACTTCCTATTGCATTGATTGATCATGATTTTAACTGGGATGAAGTGAATGTGTCCGGCACCACCTCGGTACCCGTCTCTCTGCTCTATCCACTGCATGTTAGCTTAGACCAGGGTTTCCTGGTCCTGGTGCCCACCGTGGGGTGCACATTTTGGTTTTTGCCCTAGCACTACACAGCTGATTCAAATAACCAACTCATCATCTGTCTTTGTTTATTTGAATCAGCTGTGTAGTGCTAGGGTAAAAACCAAAATGCACCCTTGGGGTCCCCATGACCGAGTTTGAGAAACCCTGGCATAAACAACCTCTACCTGCCCTCCCTCTCCCTGTCCTTGTCCCAACACACTGCATCTACACACCATATACAGAAACAACTATACTTCTAGTACTTATTAGAAACTTTCAACAGATCTTCAGAACATACACTTAACAGAAACATTAGACCAAAAGCAGAGAGAAGTACTTAACTGACAGATGAAAGGCAAAAAACATATTTCATGTATCTGATTTAAAACAGTTTGGCCAAGATATTCTATCTGAAAGAGAAAAGTGCAGACGGCTAATGAATTGTTCTCCACGCCCCCTTATAAAGACTATAAATAAATAGTTCAGAACACAGGAAATAAGCTTCCTTATGAATAATAGACCACAATGCAATTAAATTGCGATGGAAGCAGAAACATGCTTTACTGGCAGTTACCTGCAGCTGACTACTTTTGAAAGTCCAGTCGCAGTTTTCAAAGTTTTCTGCAGGTCAGTCAGGTACCCATCCGGTTAGTTAATAATGACACTAATAGGTGTCAAATTGTGCTGAGCAGCTAAACTAGAAGAGTAGAATCCTGTAGGTCCACTCCTGACTCCTGACAAGTGCTGGGAGGTCCAGACTTGTACTGATTCTCTCCACATTGCAATCCAAAAAGTATGGGAACATAATGAGCGAGAGAGGGGGTGAGGCAAATGAGTGAGATAGAAAAGAGTGAGTAAGGGTGTGTGTAAAAGAGAGAGGGGGTGATAGCGCTCCCTCATCCTTAGCTGTGTGTCTTCTCTGATACTGTAACTGTAGACCTGCTCAGGTAGCCAGTTTTCTTATTTTTTTTAATCATCTAATTTCTCCTCTCACTGTTTGAATAATCTATTTACGTCTCAATATTGATCTCTGGTTCATTCCATATAGGGCTATTCTCAGGTTTTCATCATTTAGAATAGATAATCTTATTGTTTAATTTTCTGACAGTTGAATAGCACATAATAGGGAGTGTCTGAAAGCTGTAATGGTATTCTGTAATATGTTTATAAAAATAATGCAGTGATCCCTCTACCTTTACAAGTTGCTGACTAATCAGTGATAAAAGGATAGAATCCGAGAATGCAGTTTTTCTACAGTATATGACTCCCTACTACAGTCAGTCAGGCACCGGTGGTCATCTCTCATTGACATGGGTTGGGTACATCTATCATAGGATGTAAGGAGTGTCAACATGAGAGGATTTTTTGAGGGGGGTTCACACCATCTCATATCTTAATGTACTGCCAACCACATTACCTTAGTGTCACTGCAGAGTTATGAGAACATCATGTTATGTTCGCTGGTTTGACCTTCTGAGTGTTTACAGGGACAGGGACCGTTGCACAGGCATGCACTCACACACACACACACACACACACACATCCTGTCCCTCACACACATTCCCTGGCTCCTTGATTACCAGAGGGTATACTGATGGCTATAGATGCTAATTAACCTGATGTAGGGGAATATAACACTGTCGTTAGTCCTGGTCTGGCCATGCAGGGCTGGGGACATTAACTAATCCAGACCCCCACCGCCACCATATCAATATCATAATGTGAAAACCTGGGAAGGAGAGGGGAGGGGGCGAGGGAAATACAGAGTCACAGGAAACTAAACTCTGTCAATCTATCATAGGAGAAGGATGAGTACAGAGAGAGGGAGGGAGGAGAGCACAGGAGGTTGGTGGCACCTTAATTGGGGAGGACGGGCTCGTAGTAATGGCTGGAGTTGAACGGTATCAAATACATCAAACACATGGTTTCCATGTGTTTGATACCATTCCATTCGCGCCGTTCCAGACATTATTATGAGCCGTCCTCCCCTCAGCAGCCTCCACTGGAGAAGAGAGAGAGGGAGCGCTCCCAAAGTCACATTGAAGGTAAACACACCCTCATTCATTCAGGTACAGACTTCAGATATAACAGGAGTAAAATATGTTCACATTTTACAGTGTAACTCAAGGGAGTGATTGATGAATGTATCGTTTTTTTTATTAGCAATTGGGGAATTGTCACACAGGTAACTGACAAAATAAAGGAAACACCAGCATACACTGTAAAGTGTCTTAAAAGGGCGTTGGGCCACCACGAGCCACCAGAACAGCTTCAATGCGCCTTGGCATAGATTCTACAAGTATCTGGAACTCTATTGGAGGGATGTGACACCCTTCTTCCATGAGAAATTCCATCATTTGGTGTTTTGTTGATGGTGGTGGAAAATGCTGTCTCAGGTGCCACTCCAGAATCTCCCATAAGTGTTCAATTGGGTTGAGATTTGGTGACTGAGACACACACACACACACACACACACACACATCCTTGAAACTCCCTATGCTGGGTACTGGTCATGACCCTAAGCATGATGGGATGTTAATTGCTTAATTAACTCAGGAACCACACCTCTGTGGAAGCACCTGCTTTCAATATACTTTGTATCCCTCATTTACTCAAGTGTTTCCTTTATTTTGGCAGTTACCTGTATATCAATGTTGGATCCTGTTATATCTATTTCTACATCCAGGGTGTTTATAAATACAAGGTAGTGGTGAGCGTGTCCCTGGTCTGTATTACAGTACCCCCTCCAACGTGCAGTGCTCTCTCTGATCTCCACTCTGACAAAAGTGCCTGCGTCTGCATTCACACCCTGAGTCAAGAGAGGGGAGGGGAGGGGGAGAAAGAGGGAGACAGACAGGGAGGTTAAGAGGAGGAAGAGGAGGAGGAGGAGGAGGGAGAGAAAGAGAGAGGGGCAGGAAGGCACTGAGCCAAGAGAGAGAGAGCAGGGAAAAGTTGAGAGAGAGCCAGAGGGGCAGGCTAGCAGGCAAAGGGAAGAAGAAACTGGGGCTATCCAGGAAGAAGAGACAGGACCGTCCGAGCCAGCAGCCATAAGTCACCGGGGCTACTGCAGCAGCACTCCTCCTGTCCATCCTCTCTCTCTCGCTCTCGTTCTCTCTCTCTTTCTCTCTCTGACTGGGGCTGCAGCCTGCCTTTCTCTGCAGAGGAAGCGCTGGCTGGTGGAATCGACTTGACTGCAGCCTAACTGACTGCCGGTGCGCAGTGATTCTCCCCTGGCTCAGCTCAGCTCAGCTCTGCCGTCCGTTCGTCCTCACTGACTCAGCTGTGCTGTGTAGTCAGCCTGCTGGTCCAGCCTCTCGGGAACACAGCCACAGGAAGAGGTATGGTGCAGTACTGTCTCATATGGCCAAGTTTTACTGTTACTCTCTCTTCTCTCTCATGCTGCGCTCTTCTGTGTTCCTAATCAGAATCTCGGGGGGAATCTCGAGCGAGAGATATGTCTTCGATTGGAGATATTCTCTCATCGAGAGTCTCTAAAGCAGAATAGTCTCTCTGGTCATAGCATTTAGAGTCTCGTCTCACGTCTATCTTCAAGATATATCTCTCTCTATCTCTCTCTCTCTCTCTCTCTCTTTGTCTCTCTCTCCTTCTCTCTCTTTCTCTTTCTGTTTCTCTCGCTCTCTCCTCTCTGTCTCTCTCTCTTCTCTCTCTCTCTTTCTGTCTCTCTCTCCTCTCTCTCTCGCTCTTTCTGTCACTCTCTCTCTCGCTCTTAAATCCTCACTATTTCTGATCCTCTTTCTCTCTCAGTTTAGGAGTGCTCTCTTACTGAAGGATTATAGCTGATTGACTTAGTTTGTCTTGAGTTTGTTTTTAAGTCTGAACCCTCTTCCCTGACACCCCACCCACCCCATACCTCCCCATTCTCACTCTTCCTCTCTTCCTGCATGCCCTCTGTCTAACCGACAGTCCTTCTGACGGGAGTGTTTTGGGGCTGGCAGGCAGACGCACTGCAACCAGGACTGGCTAACAACACAGTAGAACGTGGTGCCTCGGTTGGGACCAGATCAGACGCCCAGGCACAACACACAACCAGACCAGGGGGACTCTGGGTTACATCGACCTGACCACCAGAGGAGTTTTGACGGGATAACTCCAGCCCAACGGACCCCGGGCTGGATCCCACAGCAGGGGGTGTTTTGGACGGGTTCAGAGTGCCATGGAGGTCCAGGGGAGTGGGGCTGAGCAGCCCAGGTCCAGGTGTCTGTTGTCCTCACACACCGCCTGGCCCCGGACCAGCCTGATCATCACTCTGCTGCTCAGTAAGACCTCTCTGTCTCAGTCATATATATCCCTAGTGCTTCTTTTTCATCCTATCCCTCTCTCTCTCTCTACACCTCCCCTCCTCTCTCCTCTCTCTCTCTCTGCACCTCTCTTCTCCTCTCTTTCTCTTAAGTAAAGTTTGAAGAAATGTTCCCAATTCCGCAAGCCCAACTGCCCTGTCATGTACTATGAAACATTTACTGTATTTGCCATCTGATGTCATTTTGTCGTTCCATAGAGTGGACTCAATACGGTTAAAACCTTTCTCTCACTGCAGAGTGGTTGGCAATATTGTGGCAGCTAGCTTTTCACTGTATGGATTGATTGGTGAAACTTTGTATCAGAGTTTTATTTGCGTGGTGGCTAGAAAATGCAGTCAGTTTGCGTGCTGAAGTATGTTTGATGGATAACTGGGCATACGTAACCACAGAATTACATATAGAATAGTGATTTTATAATCTCAGTGTACGTAACACCCCTCTGTTTCACAACCTGAATCTGAGTTGATCAAAGCTGCAGCAGTGGCCTAGTGTCTGTTCAGAGGTCTGTCACTAGATATGTTATCCACAGTATTATTATGCAGGACCTATACATACATTTACCTATTACAAAAGCAGTCTATCATAGCAATAGTATTCATAAGAATTTAAAGGGCTAAAAGGAATAAAGGACTTTATTGATATCAGACATTTAACACATAATTTTACTTTGCCTTTACAGTAAACACAAAACGAAGATATTTTGTACAACATGGAGTTACTATATTGATTTTTCTTTAGCTTTTAACTCGGAGTCAAGTTGTTTCCAGGTAACAATATCAGTGTGATGAGAAGGTCCCCTGCAGATCCAGGTTAATAGAGTAATAATGCAGTGGGGAAATGGGAACTGGTCTGAGTTTAAGGGATGGCATCATGGTAGCAGCATCTGCTATGTGAATTATCAGGGTAATAATATCAGGGTAATATTACCCTGTTCCTTTTAACAGACAGCTGGACAAACCAGGAGCTGTCAGCCAGGCTCAGTCAGGCTCTGATGTTCTCACGCTCTGAGCCAACAGGACTGCAGGATCAGTCCAGCATTACACCCCGCCCCTCCCTCCGCCCCCCTGAAGCCCAATTCACCATTTTAGCCAGATTATGCGCCTCGTTGGTTGCAATTAAACTATTTCATACGCACACGATTGCTGGGTAATGTAGGACATGAAGGCTGATCGTTTTGAGGATTTACTGAATAAATCAAATGTTGGTCTAAAATGTTAGATAGTGATGTTCTGGTTCTATAGATTGTATAGTTGTACAGGTAGGTCTATGAGGTTTCATGCTTGATGTGTTCTAGAAAGAGACACATGTAGGTTAGAAAGTAGAGCATCACTGTTCCAGTTAGAAGCCGATCATACGGGAGAACCTCAAATAAATGACAGTTTGGAAACAAAGCCATTAGATAAGCAACTCAATGGAGACTGCTGCTGACACAATCCATAGGGGGGTCTAGGAGGGTCAGAGTGCCTTTCACCACCAAGATGTCCTGATTTGGCTGTGAATGGGGATTGGCATGGGGCTGAGTCTTCGCTGGATGATGTCCTCCTACCTGTATTTGTGTCTTACATTCTTTTTCCTCTCAAAGTTAACCAGCCCCTTTGAGCCATATCCTGTTGAACTTCAGTTACCACTATACAGTATATAAATGGTCACCAAACATCAGAGAAAATATACAGACAGAGAGATGCAGAGGCAAGAGTAGAATCACAATGCAGAGTAACAGAGAAGGAAAATGAACGACAAAAAGAGAGGACCAAATAACAGTGAAGGAAATGGAGAGTGAAGGACAAAAGAGAGAGAGAGAGAGAGAGAGAGAGAGGTGCATCTGCCCTGTGTGAGTTTCTGCAGAATCACTGTGCTGCATTGGGGCAGAGAGAGAGAGTGTGTGTGAGTCATTTCGAAGGAATTATGCATTCATACATATGTTCTCCCTCACTGTGCAGCCCACACTACATCCATATATTGTCCCAAACTGCAGGGGGAGGGGCTTGTCCTAACCTGACCTTGAGTCGGTTATTGATGATGTCACACAGCTGAGGGGTGATGTAAAAACAGAGGGGGGAGGAATTTTGAGCAATGGGGGCTGCAGAGGGACAAACAGAGCAAGAGAAAATGGGACAGAAAGGGCAGACAGGACAGGTAATACTATTGGTTAGAGAATTGGAGGAGAGGACAGACTGGGCAGAGGGAGAAGTGTGTGAGCAGCATTGCTGTATAGTCCCAGTGAGTTTATGTACCCAGACTAACCATCCGTTATCTTTAGGTCCACTTGAGAAGTGTTGGTGTCGGCATTATCTGGATTATGTTAAAGAGGTGGCAGGACCTGCGTTATTTAGATTCCCTTAAAGAGCGAGATGAGCCTGAACTCATTTGCTAATTACCGAGTTTAATGAGCCTGCATTGAGTTAAATGGCCTCACAACATCCCAAACACTGTAATAAAATACCACACACACACACTTGTAACTGTACATAATCTGCCTGGTATAAATACAAACTCATACATATTCGTACAATCAATCACAAACAGTGTGAGCATACACATACAAACAGTAATGGATCGTTTTTAGTTTATCCTTTTTAACAACTTACTGACAGAAATACAGTACGCCCCTCTATCTATCTATCTATCTATCTATCTATCTATCTATCTATCTATCTATCTATCTATCTATCTATCTATCTATCTATCTATCTATCTATCTATCTATCTATCTATCTATCTATCTATCTATCTATCTATCTATCTATCTATCTATCTATCTATCTATCTATCTATCTATCTATCTATCTATCTATCTCTCTCTCTCTCTCTCTCTCTCTCCTCTCTCTCTCTCTCTCTCTCTCTCTCTCTCTCTCTCTCTCTCTCTCTCTCTCTCTCTCTCTCTCTCTCTCTCTCTCTCTCTCTCTTCCTATTGTATTCCCCCTCTTTTTCTCTTTTTCTTCTTCCCCCTACCTCTCACTGTGTCAGGTCTGTGGGTCTGTGCCATGACATTACTGCAGACCTAAGTGTGTGTAGTCTGTGAATTGGGTAGACAGTGTTTGTACGTGTGTGTGCGTGCATGTATGTTTGTGGGGGGGGTGTATGCAAATGCATGTATGGAAGTGTATATACTTGTCCTATCTTACTGTAATATGCACATTCTCTCTATACAATAGTTAAGCTTAAGTGTATGTTTCAGTAGTAAAATGGGTTATTGTTCAGATGTTTCGCTGTTCCTATCTTTCTGTCAGTAACTATCTATGGTAAGGTCAAAGGGGAAATGTCAGAAGCAGATATGGTATTGACCCTCAGTTGAGGTCAGACATAGTCTTCAAATGCCTGATAGTTTTCAGGATCAGTTAAGAAGGGATATGGGTAGAGGGGGTAGGGGATTATCACTTTTTTTTTTTTTTTACAAGCTCTATGTCAATGGATGAGCTATAGTAACCTGAGAATGGACCAGAGATACATCTCTCTCTATATATCTCTCTATCTCTCTCTCTCTCTCTCTCTCTCTCTCTCTCTCTCTCTCACTATCCTCCCTCCCCTCTTTCACAGAGTGCAGCACCATTTGACACCATTGTAAAAGAGAGGAGCTGGCTTGTTATGCACTTGTTAAGTAAAAGAGACGATATTTCGGGAACGATTTAATTCTGGAAACAGTATCCATTGAAATATGGAAACCACATGAGTACACTGTGTACTTTCCTTTCTCACTATGGTGTGTGTTGTCTTTTCCCTTTCTGGATTTCTCAGGAGTATTGTGTACTACCTTATAGATTCTGCCCCCCTCCCTCCCTTCCAGGTGTGTGGTCTGCTCAGGGCCTGGAGATGTCCACAGGGAAGGTCCCGTTCCTGGAGGCGCTAAACGGCAGTACTGTGCTGCTACCCTGCACCTATGCCAGCTGTATCGGCATCAAAAACCTCTACTTCAACTGGCAGTACAACGACAACGGCACTATGCAGAAGGTGGGTCAAAGCTGGCCTGGCCCACTAAAACACAGCACCCACACAACTACAGTCATTCATGTCAGCTCAGATCTCACACAGATAGGGCCACGGCTGGGATATTCAAAGTCACTGTTAGGATGTCATATTTTCAAGTGTTCTAATTTAGGTGGTGTAGACCAATAGTTTTCTGCAACAGTAAGTGATATCTCTAATGTGAATGTTTTGATTTGAGTTGTGGTCAGATATTGTGAGTGTCAGATGATTGACGGCTGCCTGGTCCTCTCAGGTTTGTGAGTCGGTGATTCCAGCAGACGGGATGGATCCTCATCCAGTAAGTATCTACCGGGAGCGGGTGGATTTTATCGGCACCAGTGATCACAACAACATCTCCATCCTGCTATGGAACATCACCTTTGAGGACGAGGGCCAGTACACCTGTTTCGGACGCAACCCCAAAGAGAAGGGCAAGAACCACAGCGCTATCTTTACCCTTGTCGTGGTGGACGAGTGTGAGTACTAACTAGCATTCTCTTTGCTTTACTCCAGGCAGATACATTTGGAAATGCTAGGCGGGTAGTCGGGTACTACAAGCAACAACGTCTAGATGTGTTGTGCTGTGTAGACGATGCACTGTAGGTAGCTAATGTCTGTCTGATCAGCCTCTACCTTCTCCTCTCCCTGGCTCCTTCTCTGCAGTACGAGTGGTGGACAACACTCTCACCATCATAATTGCTTCTGCAGTGGGCGGAGCCATCGCCCTGCTGATGACTTTCATGCTGGTGAAGAACTTCATCCTCTTCGTTCTCTTCAAAATCGAGGAGAAGAAGTGAGTAAGACAGAGTAGCAACGAGACCACGGAGAGTAGCCAACTGGCCATCCACACAGAGAAACACCTTTAGCTCATCTTGGTGCCTCCAAACTGTAGTAAAGCATCAATACAGTCGGGCTACAATTATAAAAATACGTGGAAAAGCAGGTGTCTCTTCTAACCCTCCTCTCTCCTCTGCTCCTCCCGTCCACAGAAAGATCGAGTGCCTTGTACAATCTTCCTCAGCAGATGAAACAAACAATGTCTCAGGATCCAGAACTTCGAAACCACCAACACCAAAGAAGAAATGAGAGTACTTGCATGTATGTACATCCATATATAAATATACAGTTATATCTATGCATATATTTATATGCATAAACATGTGTATGTACACATGACTCCATGGGCAGGTTTCTTGGGCAGGTTTTTTGGACTGAGAAGCACGTCCGATGGAGATTCTTCATTGAAAGTGTTTGTTAGTCCAATAAGCTTAGGCTGTGTCCAGGAAACCGCCACCATACGTTCAAGTAGATATATTATTTTTTTAAATTAAACACCTAAACCTAGGACTGTTTTTCATATGATAATAAAAAGAGAAAACAATTATGATTAATTTAAAATATGCTTAAGATGGGGAATAATGCTATGTAATAATGCTGTTTAAACTGTGCTGGATCCTGCTCCTCTCTTCACCAACCAACCCAGTTCAACTGAAACTGTCTACAAATTCAAATGTTATGTTTTGTGGAAAATATATGGGACATTATTCACAGTTTAATTCAATCTCCAGTGGCATTATACCACTTCAGATTCAGCTTCAGTCCTATTGAATAATACCTCTGATTCGTATCAAGTTTAGTTTAGTGTTGTTTAGAATACAATATTAACTCTGCTATTCCAAAAGTAATTCATTAAGCCTATTGTATCATATTTAGAAACGAAGGTCTCTAAAGGGGTGTTGCTGTGGTGAAGAGTGAGAAATGATCCAGTTCAGAACATAATACCTTTTCTTTGCTTGATATAAAACACTGGTGCCTGTTAGCGCTTCTATCTTCCTCTGCTGGTAGGGAAGACTAAATACTGCAAAACCATTTACCAAACGCAGCAAAACGCAAAGGAATAATACTACAAGCTGATGAATGAAATGATAGACAATCCCTTGAAACCAACCCCCTAGAAAAATGAATAAACCTCTACTAATGCTGCTTTTAAGACAAATAACCTTAATGCATTTATAAGCATGTGAAACCCCAAGGCAGATTTAGAGACACAATGCTTGACAATAGAAATGTACTCTCTCTTGTGTTCTTTTCTGGAATCCCAGATTTAACCACATGTAATGTGTTTAGTTCTGCTTTGAAGCTGGTTCCAAATCTGCTCACATCATGCCAACCCCCACTACATCCAGTGTGCATCCAATGGTTGGCTAGGCTATGCACAGTACACTATTAGGTAGTGGGTTTACTGGCTTGAACATTTCTATACTATGTCCACTTACAAATAGCTCTCTCTTTGTTGTACTGAACACATTTACTCAGACCCATGTTTTTACACACTGCAATAAGTACTCATATGCTGCAGCGCAGCGGAATTTATGATGGTTCATTCATGGCTCATGATTCAACACAAATTCACCATGTGCAGAAAACAGATATCCCTCATCTACAGTCATTACGGATACCTCCATTAACTACACCATAAAGAGATGCATGGGGCAGCAGTTATGATGCAGGTAGAGTGATAGACTGGAACAGATCTTTACTGGACAGTGTATAATAGACACACAACTAATATCCCATTTTCAGCCTATTTATTATGACAAAACTGGGATAACCCTGAGAAACCCACATCTGATCAGGAATGGAATGTACTCCTTTCATTGGGTTCCTAAGTTACTATGGAAATCCATCGCTATTGAACTGCAATGGCATATATCCAATAGTGGTACGTTTAAGACGCTGAATGTCTCGTTTTCAAAATACCTTCAGTGTGTGGGAAAACATGCATGTTCAGGGGAGAACTTAATGTCTATGTCCATTGTCTAGGACCTTGCTGCATCTGTCATTGTATAAACATAACAAATATACCTCCCTCAATCACTCAAGTTGTTTCTAATGTGGACAAGCCCCATTATTGCTGTTCCCATAGCATAACCCCCAAATAAGTGCACTGGCTTGTAACAATAACAGGAGGGTCTTTTGGGAACTTTACTTAGAAATGTATATTTTTGGGCTGTGCTAGAAGTGTATGTAAACCACAGAGATGTGTTGTACCAGTGGAGCAGTGAGTGAGTGAACCTAAATAGTTGTATATTTAACATGAGGGTAAAGTTGAATGAATGACCTCAGCTGTCTTAGATGGGAACAAACATATGGCATGGTTAGATCATAGACAGTAGTAAATGTACTATCTCTGGTTGGACACGGCTTTGAGCTTATGGAACTGAATCCCTGGCTGATTCATACTCTCCTAAGATAACAGTGATACTATGCAAACACAAACATGACTACTGAGCGGAAGACATTCATGTACTATAGGACAGGCTGTTCCAGCTCTCCCAATGGGATCTGCTTTCACAACGCTGCCCAGACATTACAGCAACATGACGATAGCTATTGCAGGATTCCAATATACCATTTTGAGTTCTTTACTGTGATGATAATGTGAGCAATAAAAATGACAAGAGCAACAGTAATCAAAGTAGGTTATGGGAAATGGAGTTCTGATGAGCTGATCCAGGGTAGATAGGGAACATAGGCTTATAGTGCAGGGGTATTCAGTCCTTGAGGTCTAGAGCACTGCTAGTTTTCATTGTTTTTAACCAGGGACTGTCTGGTTCAGACCTGTGTGACACCACCAGTGAACAGATTTTCTGGCCAATCAATGATATTAATCAATCATTTAACCACAAGGGAGACATACAGAGTAGTGCAGACCTCGCTGCTCAGATTTGAATACTCATTTTGCCTGTTAATGCACAGATGTATAGGCTTCCCCTTCTCACTCTGGGAAGCTAGCCTCCTATTTCTGTTTCTATGCGGCACTTTGTGAATGTTTGGAAGGCACAGAGTGGTGTCTTTTCGCATGTCTAGTGTGTAGAGACCTCTGTCTATTGTTGTGTTTCTGGTGTCCGGCTATGGCTCATCTTCTATTCTGCATAAGGGGCTGTGGGATGGAGTCCTGTGTGAGAAATCCTCTAAAAGGTTCCTGAATGTAAGAACCTGTGGAGATATGCAATATACAGTATGTAATTTAAAGGAGCAACAAGATTTTAGCCATAAATTAAATTTCTTCATGGTTTGTTGGAGACTGCTTACAAATGGCTTAGTATAGCTTCTTACCTTATCACAATCCAAAAAAAGATTGTTTGAATACGTTTTGTATTGCTAAATGTTTTTGCTATTGTTGTCAACCTGACAAACGAGAACCAATCGTGATACAGGAAGTTGTACACAACTAATTTGCAGCTTCACACGGCATTCTAAAAAGTAGGTTTCATTCTTGTGAATTTCTATTCCTTTGCTACTGCTGGCATGTAATTGACATTTGGCGCTAGTTGCAGGTGGAAATGTTACATGTATAACCTTTTAACAAACATACTTATAGCCTAACTGTGAAAGTGACACGTGTCCTGTTGAAATGCCCTTACACAGTACTGTAGAGGTACCAACTGTCTTCCCTGTACCCTATTCTTTTGACAACTGTACTGAAAGAACTGGGTAGATGAAGCAATATGAAAGTGAAATCTTTGTCGTTTGGAAATTCTGAGAACACTGTTGTACCAAGTTGTAGTAGCAGAGTTGCTGAAATAGTGACCTCTCTATCATCCATTATTGCACTTTTGACAACAGAATGTTTGAATCTATAATGTACCCAGACATTACTGACACCTTGGTCCCACATTGCTCTCCCAACTAACGTGAATGTACAGTCATATTTCTCTTTACTCCCTCTCAAATGATGCCTCCTCATGTAATCTCTCCACCATGCATATCAGCTCCATTTTACTTTATTATAAAAGCCACCAGAATCCAATAAACTTTTAAATTAAACAGTGTGTGTTGTCATTTTTTGTTGGCTGTCAAAATTGAACAATACATTATCAAATGACAACCATTTACAAAAATTGAATTTATTAAAACAAAACATTTAAATACATAAAAAATAATCTCATACAGTACTTACATCTCTCAAAGGAGTATGAAAAATAATAAAAATGTGAACATTCACAGGCCAGTATTCAGTCAGTCAGTGCGATGTGTTTGTCCTTTGATGACTTTGAATGTTTGCCAGACCCATTCAGCGCTCATTGAGAGAGAGAACACCAGTCAGTTGAGTTACCTCGGAGAGAAACTGGATTTTTAGGAGTACTTCTGAAAAATAGGACAACCAAATCATATCAGGTAAGGAATTTTAAAGACACCTCTAACAAGTGGGAATACATCAAAATCTGTTTTCCATCATATTATCTGGCTCTGCCCTCCCTCCGTTTGAGTCCTAGAGAGGTCTGTCGTAGTGGCCAGACACCCACCTCCATGATGGAGTAGATCCAGTTGAGTTGCTGCGCTACGCTGCAGTAGACCCCAGGGTTCCCCGGGCGGGCACAGCCCACCCCCCAGCTCACCACTCCCACCAGCTGCCAACACTTGGATAGGAACACCAGTGGACCCCCACTGTCACCCTGGGAGAGAAAGAGAGAGCAAAAGAAATGGCATTAGAAGACAAATGCAAAGTATGACTGCATTGGCAGTGTGACAGTCTAGCAAACTAACTAAAGGCAGCCATTTTGTAGGCGTTAGTGTATTGGTGGAGGAGCTCTACCTGGCACGCGTCCACTTTTCCCTCCATGTTCCCTGCGCATAGCATTCTGGGAGTGACTGAGGGGCCGTAGATGGAGGGGCGGGAACACACCTTCCTGTCAATCAGATACACAGTGGCACTCTGCAGGACTGAGGAGATTTTACCTGGGAAAGAGGAAAGGGGATACCTAGTCAGTCAACAATGCATTCAACTGAAATGTGTCTTCCGCATTTAACCCAACCCCTCTGAATCAGAGAGGTGCGGGGGGCTGCCTTAATTGACATCCACGTCAGCGGCGCCCGGGGAGCAGTTAACTGCCTTGCTCAAGGGCAAAACGGCAGATTTTTTCAACCTTGCCAGCTCAAGAATTCAAACAAGCAACCTTTCGGTTACTGTCCCAACCGCTAGGCTAACCACCGCCCAGGAGATAACAGGTAGCCTCTTACACTAAGAACACAATAAAAATGGCCAGACAGTACGGAAGTGCGCACTTCTACACGCCCTGCCATTGTTGGGGCTTTGGTCTACATTAGGGCGGTAGGTAGCCTAGCTGTTATGAGCATTGGGCCAGTAACCAAAAGGTTGCTGGTTCAAATCCCAGAGCCGACTAATTGAAAAAGCTGTCGATGTGCCCTTGAGCACCATGAGTTCCTCCTGTAAGTCACTCTGGATAAGAGAGTCTGCTAAATGACTAAAGTGTAAAAAAAAAAAAAGGAAAAGAAAGTTGGCTTTACATTGATTGGCTGTATGATTTAGCTATTTTTTTATAGACCTGCCTTCTGCTCTGTACAGATAGCCCTGTCCAGTCTCACCTTTCTCGTGCTGGAAGCCCCAGCCAGTCACCACCAAGGGGTCCCCTGCCTTCAGAGGCAGGCTGTGGGGTGGCAGGCACACTGGGCGGAGGGTGTCTGGAGAGAGTCAAGACATCAGTTTTCTTTATTATAAACTAGGAGGTTCGAGCCCTGAATGCTGATTGACTGAAAGCTGTGGTATTTCAGACCGTATACCAAGGGTACGACAAAACATTTATTTTCACTGTTCTAATTACGTTGGTAACCAGTTTATAATAGCAATAAGGCACCTTGGGAGTTTGTGGTATGTAACCAATATACCACGGCTAAGGGCTGTATCCAAGAACAGCCCTTAGCCGTGGGATACTGGCCATATACCACACCCCCTCAGGACTTATTGCTTAAATGTACGTCACTGTACAACATAAAACAAACCAACCAACCACGGCAGAGGACCTCAATTATGGGTTTATAGTACAGTGACTAGAAATTAGTACCAAAGGCTATATTTTTCAATGACAGTTGTTTCGGACAAGAAAACTGGTTGGGAAAGAAATACAGTCCTGGCAGTTCAACTTCATAACACTAGAGGACAGCATGGGGAGTTAACCCCCTGTGTGTGTACATGTTCCCATCCATCAAGCTGAGCAATGATGAAGGTTATAGGCTACTGTAAAGGACTTTGGGACGGTTGAGTAACTGCTGGAGAGGTGTCCAGTACCTCCGGTAGTGACAGGCCTGATGAGCTTCAGCATGGCGATGTCATAGTCGTGAGTGTCAGAACTGTAATCTTTATTGATTATGATGGCTGCTACAGAAATACCCCCAGTAGACATCAGGTGGGTCCTACCCAGCACCACTTGCCAGAGGTTCAGATCCTTCCAATCACTGGGTGTGTGTGAAAGAAAAAGGTCAGTGTTTGTTTTGCATATACAACATTAAACAAATAGTATGACAGCAAAGAGAATAATGATAAAGCAAAACACAATGTTGAGTGTGTGTTGACCTGCTGAAGCAGTGTGCAGCGGTGATGAGCCAGGTGAGGGAGACCAGGGAGCCTCCACAGACGTGCTGGTGGTCTTTCTGCAGGCTGGCCTGCCACGGCCACTCCTCTATGGTGGTGTCAGAACCCCCCACCACCCGGTCCTGCCCCACCGCATCCCCACAGTCTGGAGGGACACGCAAGGGATGACAAGCCTTGGTAATGGTAAGCGCTTCCAACTTATTACAAAAATCCAACCATTTATTTCAGGGGGTACCATGAAGTATCTATAGGGGTAGTGGCAAAAGTGTGTAGATGGGTGGTGATCATTTGAAATCTTTACCTGAGCACGATAGAGCTATCACTGAGCCTGAGATGCAGGTTTCTCTGAGAAACAGAGAGGATAGTCAGTTACTCACACCTAAACAGTCAGATGGTTGGAGGACATCCAGAAGAACATATACACCTACCTGCTGATGAGTGCAGTGTGAAGGGGACCCTTAGTTCTTGCTCTTACTGCACTGAAGGACTCTCCCAGTGAGGGGTGTAGGCTGTTGACATCCAGTCTATTGCTTTTAGGGTTCCTGGTGTAGATGACAAACAGTAGTCAGATATATACAGGAGATACATAAGACTACGTATCTGACTGAATAGAAGAAGACTGCTGAGGTCTTATCTTACAGTGTGTATCCCAGGTGCTGACAGGCACTGCGGGTGTCGCTCAATCCCCAGTCGTCTGCACACACGGTGCTCCACCCAGCCTCCACCCTGAACACCTGTAGCACCATGCTCTCACCCACCAACCGCACTACACACACACACAGAGACACACACAGACAGACAGGAGGATGGATGGATGAGTTAAATGGGCAATCGGCAGAAAAAATAAAACCCGTTCCCGCCCCTCTAGAGTTTTTGCAGACTTGTATACTGTAGTATTTACAGTTACCTATAGTATAAATACTGTAGTAAAATACTCTTTAGTATGTACTATAATAATTAATGTAGTGTTTTTGCGGATTGTAGTATTTACTGTAGTGTTTTTGCTGACATTACTGTAGTATTTACTATAGTGTTTTTGTTTTATATAAGTGGAGGGTTTCTCCTTGAGGAAACCTATTGGAGAATACTATAAGAGCACATTTTCCATAACCTGTAGGTAGGAAGGAAGGAAGGAAGGAAGGAAGGAAGAACTGGGGTCTGAACGGATAGTGCAGAGCTTCTGCTCTTTCCTATAATCTGTATGGAACACAATATGGTCTATACTTGGCATGTAGGGTTCTCACTTATGGGTGGCACAAATTGGGATATGGGGGAAGGGAATGGACAGGGTATATGCAAATTAAATACTGTAGTATTTACTATAGTTTAAAAAAGTGACGTGTTTTTTTTTTTTGCAGACATTTCTGTAGTATTTACTACAGTTTTGTGATTAATACTGTAGTATTTACTATAGTATACTACAACATTATATAGTAAGTACTACATGAGAGGGACACTACAGTGTGTAGTATAGTATTCTACAGTATGCAACATAATTCTATAGTAAGTACTGTAGTATTCTATAGTAAACTGTAGTACATTTTCATGTGGGCAGTTTCATGGGCTTAGTAGCCTCAAATGCAGAGAACTTGCCTACGAATTGGCACATCGAAACAACATCCTTGTCTGATAAAGAAATGTGTGAGTGAGATATGACTAAAATGTCACACCCTCAGTTAAACTAATAATGTATGAATAATTAGTAGACTAGAGCTTAGAGAATTAACCAAATGTGTTTATATCCCAGCAACAGAGTATAGACTGGTTCCCAAAACACACAGGGAAAGGGGAGTGAAAGGCTTGCAGGATATTGTGAGGAGGCGAAAATTAAGGAATGCAGCCTATGATAAGAACATGTGTATGTATATCTATGTGTGTGTGTGTGTGTGTGTGACCTGGTGGTCAGGATAGCAGAGGAAAACATGAGCTAAACCCATGTATAGTGGAAATATACAGCCCGCCTACAGAGGGGTGGGATTTTTCCTCTGACGTGTGCGTATAAAAATATTGTACGACCATTTGTTGCAGAATTCTCTGAATAAAGACCTGGCTATTACACTGAGGCTCTGTCCGTTTCTTGATCCAAAAGCCTTACAACCTTTTGGGAGACGCACAGAGACACTGAAATAGTTAGTTAATAAATTCTCTTAACATTGTCCCAGACAACTGGCCAAGAAATGTAAGGGTAAGTGATATTGAACAGCGAGAGATCTGTTTCTGAATGTAGGCATACATTTAAGATATATTGTATATCACAGCCCCATTTCATGAATTAAACTGACCCACCAGCACCATCACCTACTTACCTCAAGGCGGCTCAACTTACCCTGTCCCTATGCTCAACTTACCCATTACCTGGACAAGCTATGTTTTCAAAACGGATGTTTACATGAATTCTGATTCTTTCTAAGGATACACAACATCCTGAAATATATCTTTGTTAGAAAGAATACTTTCCCTAGACGTAGTGATGCAGATACCCCACTCTCCCCTACAACAGTTAACTTATCAATGCCTTGTGCTTAGTTTATGTTCTTCAAGAATCAATGGGTACAATCAATAATTTCTAAGTCCGAAAATGTATGTAGCAACTGCAGATTGCCCCTTTAAGAGAAAGAAGAATCAGAGAGTGGAATGGTAAGATGAGAGGTGGATGATAGAGGGAAGGGAAAACTGATGGAGAAGATGGAGGGTGGTACTGGTGGTCTTGCCTGGGAAGGTGGTGTTGGCTGGCTGGCTGGACACACAAGTGAGCTCGTCCTCTCCACTGGCACAGTCTGCTTTCCTGTCACACACCATCGCCACGGGGATGAACTTCAATGACTGGGAGCAGAAGAAAAACTTGCGGTCGACAAGACACCAGACTGGAGAGAGAGAGGAGATGGGTAGAGAGGATGAGAGAGAGAGAGAGAGAGAGAGGGGTAGAGAGGATGGAGAGAGAGGAGAGGGGTAGAGAGAGAGGGGTAGAGAGGATGGGTAGAGAGGAGAGGGGTAGAGAGGATGGAGAGAGAGGAGAGGGGTAGAGAGGATGGAGAGAGAGGAGAGAGGTAGAGAGGATGGAGAGAGAGGAGAGGGGTAGAGAGGATAAAGGGGAAAAGAGATACAGGTTACAACAGGAATAGGATTTAGAGAAACTCCAGACTTTAATTGTGGTTAAAGTTGTGACATGAGACGGAGGAGGGACATACTGAAGTAAGCACCCACTGCCAATATCCCCAGTGTGACCAGTACACAACACACAGTGATCAGGGTCATCTTCTTCTTAGCCCCCTGGTTTCCCTGGTCCCTCTGGGCCACCGTAATCTGCCTCTTCTGGCGTTGAGGCATGATCAGAGCTGTCGGTGTGAGGACAGTTAAGGTAGTCAGATGTGAGTTGTGCAAAAAAATATTGTTTCTCTCCTATTTTGCCACTAAGAAGAAGAAGAAGAAGAAGAGGGCTACATTATGATGTGGTACTCCAGGTAATATACAGCAATCTGTTTTAACTCACCTCGAGACAGGTCTAGATGTGTGGGCTTGTCCTTGGTGCTCTTAACAGCAGTGTGTGTGTGTGAATCTAAAGGGAGGGGGGGAAAGAGATCAACAGTAGGAACAGCATCTGAACCTCAAACATTTGTGCAATTCTACATTTGTCATTATATACACTTGTAGATTGAAAGGTAGAGTTAGTATGTCCCTGTCTCACATCTTACCAGTGTGCCCACCAAGCTGTCCTCACTCGGCCCTGCTATCCTGTCTATCAGCTGCTCTCCAGAAAAGTCAGGTAAGGCTTCTGCCAAGCTCTAGAAAACAGACAGATGCCACAATGCCATTGCTCTCACAAGCCCTTCCTGTGCCCTAATGACCAATCAGCAGGTGGGGCGGGATCTTTGCTAATCAAGCTAAATGGTTTGGTGTGAGGAGGTGATGTGATTAGTGGAATCAGGCGGGTTTTGGGCCCTGGCTGGGATAATACCAGAGACGGAAGAGGAAGCGAGAGATCTCACTCGCTCCTTTTTTATGGTTCATATACAGTGAATGAACTACTAGGCAGACCAGACCCAGCTGCTAATGCATTGGTGCGTATGGGAGAGCCACCCCTTAATTAAGCAGACCGGAACTGTGACCATTTTTGTCTACGGTAAACAGCCTTCATTTATGGTTAGTGCTATCTGGGAACCTTGGGAAGTCCCTACCCTAACTTTAACCCTTACGTTAATCGTTTTAAATGTAAACTTCAATAGGATGACGTCAGAGGTGGGACGTCCCAAGGATTATCCACCCTCTTTGATGATACTACAGGCCCAGCACTGTCTGTCTATTTATCACATGGTTGTCAAAAGACCCAAAAGATATCCCATATGAGTAAACTGCTGTACATTTTATTGACTGATCTATGTGAGTGCATCTCCTCCTGGTGGGAGGAGCTATAGGAGGACAGGATCATTGTAATGGCTGGAATGGAATTAATGGAACGGAGTCGAACATGTGGTCTCCATATGTTTGACGTATTTGATACCATTTCATGTATTCCATTCCAGCCATTACAATGAGCCCATCCTCCTATAGCTCCTCCCACCAGCCTTCTCTGGTTTATGTGCTTACTGTAAATGTGCTTACTATATATTACTGGGATGACTCAGGTATATACCATCATTGTCTTAATTATTTGTTTATTTTACAGTATCTCTTTCCATTTACTACTTGACTTATGCTCTGACAGGGTTGTCAAATGCACACTTATTTGACATCTAGGGCTGTGATTCACCTCTCAACATAGATTTATCACACAACAGCCCAAGACAAAAAAAGAGAACCTTGCATTTGTTCATAAACATACTGTACAATGCAGACTGTGTGGTTAACACTGCCCTTCCCAGTCTCACCATCCCATATAACCCAGTGCAGTCCTCCTGGCCCTAGAGGAGCAGAGTCAAGCCCACATGTAAAGTAGCCTACTCACCAACATCCTTCCTCCGCTCCACTGTAGCCCCAATCCCTCTGAATGTCTGTGCAGGTATCAGTTTCTGTAGCACCCTTAGTGGTGTTGGTAAAAAGCAGATGTTTCTGGTTTTCAGGGATACAGTATTTTCAACCTAACTTCCATTTACCCTGAAAACAGAAGCAGTGACTTCGCTCAAGCATCTTTCTACTCCTGCTACGTTAGATCACTCCTGTAGAGACAGGAGAGCCTGTATCTGGTCCTACTCTTGCTCCCCAAGGGTTGAATGACAACTGTAGACCCACCTACTGTATTTAACTGCCATTTTCCTCCCCCCTTTCCAATGTGCTGTTCTTTTCTCTGAGAGCAATCAATCAATCAATCAATCATTCACATGAATTTATAAAGCCCTTTTTACATCAGCAGATGTCACAAAGTGCTTATACAGAAACCCAGTCTAAAACCCCAACGAGCAAGCAATGCAGATGTAAAAGCACGGTGGTTACTAAAACCTCCCTAGAAATGCATGAACCAAGGAAGAAACCTAGAGAGGAACCAGGCTATGAGGGGTGGCCAGTCCTCTTCTGGTTGTGCCGGGTAGAGATTATAAGAGTACATGGCCATTAAGATGTTCAAAAGTTCATAGATGACCAGCAGGGTCAAATAATAGTCACAGTGGTTATAGAGGGTGCAACAGGTCAGCACCCCAGGAGTAAATGTCAGTTGGCTTTTCATAGCCGAGTATAGAGAGAGAGAGAGAGACAGAGAGAGAGAGGTGATGATGATGTGTTTCTAGGTGTTAGTCCAATGCAGGCTTCCCTTCAATCCACAGGACTGACAGAGATCCACATTCTTATAGTAAAGTCCTGAATGACAGAATGTAGACATGTCTAATTTAATTCTACATTAATTTGTACTTTATTGGAATATTTTAGGAGTAGTATTTTTACTGGATTTTCTTCATCGATCAGTCCTGTAGTTATGGTTATTTTGTTCTGTCATGTGTATAATTCTCAATTGTAACATCAGATGGTGCATTGAATGGTTACTGTAGGTGTAGTAAAATGTGGCCACTTGGATTTGAACAGGAAAGAGATCACTACCATTGTCCTTGTTATATGCTTTTATTATATTCAGATGTACATACACTACCAGTCAAAAGTTTGGACACACCTACTCATTCCAGGGTTTTTCTTTATTTTTACTATTTTTTACATTGTAGAATAATAGTGAAGACATCAACACAATGAAATAACACATGTGGAATCATGTAGTAACCCAATCAAAATATATTTTATATTTGAGATTCGTCAAATAGCCACCCTTTGCCTTGATGACAGCTTTGCACACTCTTACATTTTACAGACGCTCTTATCCAGAGCGACTTACAGGAGCAATTAGGGTTAAGTGCCTTGCTCGAGGGCACATAGACAGATTTTTCACCTAGTCGGCTCGGGGATTAGAACCAGCGACCTTTCGGTTACTGGCACAATGCTCTTAACCACTAAGCTACCTGCTGCCCCTCTTGGCATTCTCTCAACCAGCTTCATGAGGTAGTAGCCTGGAATGCATTTCAATTAACAGGTGTGCCTCCTTAAAAGTTAATTTGTGGAATTTCTTTCCTTCTTAATGCGTTTGAGCCAATCAGTTGTGTTATGACAAGGTAGGGGGGGTATACAGAAGATAGCCCTATTTGGTAAAAGACCGAGTCCATATTATGGCAAGAAAAGCTCAAATAAGCAAAGAGAATCGACAGTTCATCATTACTTTAAGACTTGAAGGTCAGTCAATACGGACCTTGCAGTCGCAAAAACCATCAAGCGCTATGATGAAACTGGCTCTCATGAGGACCGCCACAGGAAAGGAAGACCCAGAGTTACCTCTGCTGCAGAGGATAAGTTCATTAGAGTTACCAGCCTCAGAAATTGCAGCCCAAATAAATGCTTCACAGAGTTCAAGTCACAGACACATCTCAACATCAACTGTTCATAGGAGACTGTGTGAATCAGGCCTTCGTGGTCGAATTGCTACAAAGAAACCACTATTAAAGGACACCAATAAGAAGAAGAGACTTGCTTGGGCCAAGAAACACGAGCAATGGACATTAGACCGGTCGAAATTTGAGTCCAAATTTGAGATTTTTGGTTCCAACCGCCATGTCTTTGTGAGACGCGGTGTGGGTGAACGGATGATCTCCGCATGTGTATTTCCCACCGTAAAGCATGGAGGAGGAGGTGTTATGGTGTGGGGGTGCATTGCTGGTGACACTGTCTGTGATTTATTTAGAATTCAAGGCACACTTAACCAGCATGGCTACCACAGCATTCTGCAGTGATACGCCATCCCATCTGGTTTGGGCTTACTGGGACTATCATTTGTTTTTCAACAGGACAATGACCCAACACACATCCAGGCTGTGTAAGGACTATTTTACCAAGAAGGCTATTCTGAAAGTTCTAATAGAGGAGTCGAATAATGGAACACCCAATACTAGCCATGGTAGGGATTGTAATAATAAAACACATTTATAGTATTTTATGAAGGGATAAGACAGTATTACAAGAAAGGATAACAATAGAAATAATACATATTCAAATATAACAAATTAGAACACAAGTACTCAATCAACATAGTGGAGATAAAAACATAGCAAACAGAAGACATAGAAGGCACAGTTAGTGGGTAGGTGTGGATGTATTGTGATGGAAGGTGTGGTGTGCGTTCTTTTGTGTTTGGAAAAGTGTGGCGTTAAGTGAGTGAGAAAGGAAATGGTGGAATATCCCAGAACCAACGTGTGTCTGTGAGCAGGGGTTGTGAGAGAGAGCTTTCAATTTTGTGTAGATGAGGGATATACATTTTAAAATAAAGTATACATCTAATCTATTTTTTTATTGTCCTATCATGATGGAAATGTCCCCAACCCTATATCCTAGACACCCACCTGAGCGACCCATACACCAAAGAGAAGTCCCCATCTGTTTTATGGTCCTGCTGTAAGTTGCCTATATGCAGCCAAAACAGAAAGATACATGCGGTCAGATACCTACTAGAGCAGCACCGCCCCCTCAAGATTCTGAGCCTGCCTGGCAGGGTTGGTACTACAAAGCCAGAGCCCCCTGATGGGAGAGCATAATATACAAGGAAATTCTCAAAGCTGCTAATGAGAACCTTGACGACCTTGTACTTAGTCGGTGGGGATTCCAGTGGGGTACCCCCACCCAGGTAGTGGCAGTGCTGGCAACACTGGCTGCAATAACCCATGGGGAGGGGGTCACAATCAGAGAGGGGGCATATTATTGTGGCTCTGGAGGCACAAAATAATCAGAGGTCTGACTGCACGGAGATGCTTGGGGAAAATGGTTACAACGGGGGACCAGAGTGTTTGTGTCTCAGGGGAAGAGGGTGGATCTGATCTCCATCACCTAGGACTTGACATAGGTTAATCAAATCACAAATTTTTGCTCAATTTTGCATGCTTTCTCAAACATCTGTAACTGTATATGCATTCGTAAATCAGGTCCTTTCTTGAGTCGGGCTCTGGGATGAAACAACCGTTGAGCATCTGAGTTTATGGTTGATTGTGGAGGAAAGGGGTTGAGTGTGTTAGAGTGTGTGTGTGTGTGTGTGTGTGTGTGTGTGTGTGTGTGTGTGTGTGTGTGTGTGTGTGTGTGTGTGTGTATCCCACATCTGTTGCAAGGGGGTAAGGATGTTAGGGAGACTATAGGATGAACCACAATAATTGTTTGCTAAAATAATAATTGCTTGACAAAAATGTAATGTAATACAATGGCAATGTGGGTTATAAATCAAATCAAATCAACTTTTATTTGCCACATGCGCCGAATACAACAGGTGTAGACGTTACCGTGAAATACTTACTTACAGCCCTTAACTAACAATGCATTTATTTTTTTATAAAAAAGTAAAATAAAACAACAACAACAAAAAAGTGTTGAGAAAAAAAGAGCAGAAGTAAAATAAAATAACAGTAGGGAGGCTATATACAGGGGGGTACCGGTGCAGAGTCAATGTGCGGGGGCACCGGCCAGTTGAGGTAGTTGAGGTAATATGTACATGTGGGTAGAGTTAAAGTGACTATGCATAAATAATTAACAGAGTAGCAGCAGCGTAAAAAGATGGGGTGGGGGGGCAGTGCAAATAGTCCAGGTAGCCATGATTAGCTGTTCAGGAGTCTTATGGCTTGGGGGTAGAAGCTGTTGAGAAGCCTTTTGGACCTAGACTTGGCGCTCCGGTACCGCTTGCCGTGCGGTAGCAGAGAGAACAGTCTATGACTAGGGTGGCTGGAGTCTTTGACAATTTTGAGGGCCTTCCTCTGACACCGCCTGGTATAGAGGTCCTGGATGGCAGGAAGCTTGGCCCCAGTGATGTACTGGGCCGTACGCACTACCCTCTGTAGTACCTTGCGGTCGGAGGCCGAGCAGTTGCCATACCAGGCAGTGATGCAACCAGTCAGGATGCTCTCGATGGTGCAGCTGTATAACTTTTTGAGGATCTGAGGACCCATGCCAAATCTTTTCAGTCTCCTGAGGGGGAATAGGCTTTGTCGTGCCCACTTCACGACTGTCTTGGTGTGTTTGGACCATGATAGTTCATTGGTGATGTGGACACCAAGGAACTTGTCGCCAAACTTAATGATGGTGTTGGAGTCGTGCCTGGCCATGCAGTCATGGGTGAACAGGGAGTACAGGAGGGGACTGAGCACGCACCTCTGAGGGGCCCCGTGTTGAGGATCAACGTGGCAGATGTGTTGTTACCTACCCTTACCACCTGGGGGTGGCCCGTCAGGAAGTCCAGGATCCAGTTGCAGAGGGAGGTGTTTAGTCCCAGGATCCTTAGCTTAGTGATGAGCTTTGAGGGCACTATGGTGTTGAACGCTGAGCTGTAGTCAATGAATAGCGTTCTCACGTAGGTGTTCCTCTTGTCCAGGTGGGAAAGGGCAGTGTGGAGTGCAATAGAGATTGCATCATCTGTGGATCTGTTGGGGCGGTATGCAAATTGGAGTGGGT